ACAAATATCGAAACCTTTTTAAATACTTTTACATATTATTCCTCAAATTACGGAGACACGAAACAAAATATGTAGGATAGGACGAATAGTCCAGTCAATGTAGCTCAAAATTAGCTAGGTACTCATAATGTTATAAGAATTCGCAGGGCTAAAAATTTATATGAATTTTAGGATACTCTATTATTAACAAAATGAGAAAATTCCCCGTCGATCACACATCAGCAAAAAAATATTTTTTCAAAAACAAAATTTGTAACATAACCGTTTTACAATTTTAGCCAAACAGTAAGTAACTGTAAATCAAAAAGTTCAAATTCAACAGTTGAAAACTTCGTGTGCACGTTTCAACTCAATCTTTGTAATGGAGTTCCATATAAAATTTGAACTCTGCGAATTATTGCAACCTTAATTATCTATTTTGACCGGACTGAAGGTAATGAGATAAATGACAAACTACACCTCGATGTTACTATTTTTATTTATGTTTACTTCCATCTTAGTTTTAAGACAATTGTGTCCTTGACATGGGCACTCATACAAGATGCTCTTCAATACATTGGTATATTAACCATATAAATATCTATACAGCATCTATATGTACAATCGTAAGTGTGTACCGCGCCCTCCGCTGTAAGTGAAACTTTTCTCGAAGTGTGAACGTGAGAGGGTTCTCTACTCTAGAGACCACTAAGTGGGACCCCGTACAGCAAGCTTTATATTAATTTATTTCACGACATTTACTGGCAGTGCAACTGACTTATGCACATATCGTAACACAATTCAGTAATATATAATTAATTAGTGATAGATATGTAGCGCGAGAATTAATTTACAAAAGAGCTACCATCGCGACTTGGAACGCTTTCAAAAATAGTTGTTTCTTCTTGTTGTCCTCGAAATGCTTATTTATAAAGTTTATAAATAAGCATTTCGAGTGAACACGAGTTTAAGAGGCATATCACGCGTATCTATGTTTAGCTAAAATACACCTTTACAATACCAGTCATCAATTTGTATTGAGAACTTACTAAATTATATTTTAATTATAATTATCATCATCAAAATAGCAAACAGCAAGTGATGTTGCTGCGATGTTACGAGTTCATTTCTAACTAAGATCAAACACAAACCATCTTAAAGCCGATAATTATATCCGCATCACAGAATCAAAAGAAGCACTTAGCAAAATACTGTATTAACATACAGTTTTCCAATAACAAAAATAGATTTTTTGGTAAAAATATTTTTTTGATTCTTCTTAACCGATAACTATTATATTATAACATAATGTGCTACTTTATTAAAAACTCGTTACCGAGAATGAAACTCGATAATCGGTACAAACTAACGCTAATTTCAAATAATAATATGTCGTAATATTTTACATTACCATGAAAATGAGGTCGTAAGTATACAAAAATTCAAAGATTTAGTACACTAAGCGATTTACACGATGCATTAGAGATTTTAAAATTTCATAAATTAATAATATTAAAATTATAAATTCTATGCTTACAACCGAAAATTAAAATGAATGAAATTAAAAGTTATTGCTGGAGATCTGAATGTTTATAATGTGAGACTTATGTTAAGAGACTGTTGACAATGCACAGCTCACTACAGAACTAAATGCTGCCATGACAAAATCACATCATACTATGAGCAAGAACGTATTTGAATCAGTTTGAGTGTACATCTAGTACAAGGTCGAAATTCGCAAATATCTGATTCTCAAATATAATTCCAACCGTATCTGATTTAAAAAATAAAATTAAGTCTGTCTTAGCCATTCTCTTTATGAAAATGATACGAAAGTCGCTAACTGTACTATATATATATATATCAATAGTATTTGTTTGCACAGTTATGATTATGAAATTTCCAAACGTCTCAATATATTTTTGTGTTAACTGTAAAAACTCGCACTACTCGCGCTATAGTATGTAATAAATGGAACCACAACTATAAATAAAATACTAAAAAATAGTATGATAGTTAATAATTATTTATAAATTATCTATTTATTGATATTGTTAGGCGTACGCACATTTCAAACATTTTATTTTTTCTAATTAGTAGTAGTAAAACGAATAGGGTCGAAGCATTTAAAGGGGTATGGGCAAACAAAACACACGAAAAAAAATTGTCCGAATGACATTAAAAACTTGATGTTGTTAATTGCCAAAAATAGTAAAAAACGCAGCACGGTTAAAACCAAGATGCATATTATAATACAAACATAGTGTTTTTTCACATCAAAAAGTTTGTTTTACACAAAGCCAGTGAAGGAATATAAAGCGCAATTATCTATTTGGACATCGAACGATCATGGTACTGGATACTAATTTAAGTTCGAATTATAAAAAAAATGAGATATATGTTAAAACTCACGACATACGTGTAAACTATTGTTAGTGATTATTCTATACAAGGGAATTGTAGAATTTATAAGTGCAACACAAAAAGTCACCTCATTTATTTACATAAATTGTAAGCTTATTTTTAGTACATTAAACAGATTGAAGCAAGACCATTAGAATGAGTAATCAAATGTCATGGTCACACACTATAAACACTCCACACTAACCATTTCTATTTAATATTAGCACAAAATCATTATGTGCATAACAAAATGTTACTTTTAACATAATATGTTAAAGGTCTGATCTTAAAGAACGGCAATACGTATATTTTCAAGTATTATAATATGTTGTGTTCAGATTATATACATCATTTAAATACATTATTGTGACTAAAGATAAACAAATAATTTTGCTGCTTCCATTGATTTTATTTTCTTTTAAATACATTTATATACATTTTAATTCAATACTTTTTAATCAAATAAAATTAGAATGAAAATATTGTGATTTGCAATTGTATTTTGCATGCAATCAGAATTTACAATATTATTTCTTGACGTAGTCTTTTCGCTGACCTAAATAAAACATACGCAAGATAATCAGATTGCAGATTATTTAAAGAAAAATACAATTTACAAGCATCACGTCCAGATTTTCGACCAATACACACTACAATCCTTAGTCTCTTTAAATTTGATTTGAATAGTCCTCGCGAGAAAAGAATAGTGAATACAATGTGATTTAGTCTGCAGCTTTTAGTCTATACGTAAGGTAGAAACAAAAGCGTGACGTGAGAACTGTTACTTACTACATGGCAAATACGGGAGAGACGTAGGTTTTGTAAAAGGTACCATTACTCGTGTATAACTTATATACATGATTATTCGCAATTTTGAACTCATTGTAGATGCCTACAATTGAAAGAGTACAGAAAGAGCAATACACTAGATTTGAATATTTTGACCGCAAAAAGTAAAATAATTATTTTAAACGTAGGAGATTCGTATAATAAAAAAAAAAGTAGCAGGAGACGCACATCTGGATTTTGTGCTAACAGCAATTTGTACCAGATGTGGTCACATTTCACCTGAATTCTAAGTCATTATGAGAATTTTAAAAACGATTTATAGTTTAAAAATCAAAATATTTAGAAATTACAAAAGTAAGGATCTCCCCCGGATTTACCTTATACATAGGTTTATACATACTATCAACTTTGATTGCAAACACTACAATACAACTAAATCTAAATGTTACTATTTTAGTTTTACAGTGTTGGTCAAGCGTTTATGTTCAAAAGATATATTCAAACATCGACCTTAAATATACAGTCAACGGTCTTAAGTGCGGTCCCACCTTAATGCTCAGATTCGTATGACGGTTCTGTGCCTATCTTTGTGTGTGTGTATGTGTTGTTTCACGCACATTATAACCAGATTAACCAAGGAGAGGCCTATGTCCAGCAGTGGACTAGTAAAGGCTGTTGATGATGATGATGATAACCAGATTATACAGACGTATACGATAGTATGATGTTGCTTGGTCTGTTTTTATTACAGGATATTTTTTTAATTCTGTTATTTTAACATGACTATAGTTTATGGAAGAAAAAGGTATAATAAATATATAATTTAATAAAAAAAGTTATTATTTAGAATAGAAGAGAAGGTCGTAAATTCAACTTGTTAAAATGCTATAACCTCGTTAGAATGGGACTGGACTTTTGACAGCGACCGTACATTAAACGTTGAACTAAAAAGTACACTAAACATTTTAGTTCTAATGTTTAAACGTTACAAATGTAACTTAATAAGTCGTTTATCAAAACGTCTTATGTTTTTGAAGTGTCTATTTTTATATTAATATTTTGAAGGTGTTCATATCATCTAACTATGGAGGGTAGAGTTAAAAAAGAACTGTAATGTCTTCAGATTTCCCTAAAGAGGTGGAAAATAAACTAATTTATGAGATACGCCTACCGTTTAAGGGTCATTATATATATGATAGTTTATAGTTAGCTAGCTGTCCCTTTTCTCCCCCACCCTCCTACTTGATACCAACAAAGTATTAGAGTTGAAACATGTATTTCTCTGTTATATATAAAACTCAAGATTCACTATGTATATCTTTCCACTTTGCAGCATTTCAAAGTGCAGAAAAAAGAAAGCATTAAAGAGTATTCTTTAAAGTTTTTAGGAATAAATTTTAATTATTTTTATACATGAGTTACAATACTAATGTCAGCTTCATAGAGTCTTTCTCTTTCCCCTTACACAAGGGAACTTTCATACCGGGTCTCACATATTCAATAAGTTCCCTTTGTAATGGATCAACCTATAAGCCAGACTTGCCCTCATTATGCACGACTTGCGGCCATAAGTTATAGCACACAATTATTTATAATTTAAAATATTTATTACTTTGGTAATATAAATTTTAATAAATAAACATCGTCACACTCGGCGATACAGTCCCCTTGTCCCCAAGTATGCATTCACTGTTTAACAGTAAGTGATTCTCAAAACAATATATAATCTCGTGCGTCCATAAAACTCCATGGCCCACAGGTTTCTCTGTTGGTGTACGTGTGTAGGTAGTGCGTAGTGTGTGTCGTGTGTGAGTAATATAGAGGCAAGATTACTCTGTATAGTCCCAGCAGTCCTTTTCGTAGCCCTCGTGTACGTGCTCCAGCAGCACCTTGCGCCGGCTGTCACAGTATCTGGGGACACAATGTTATCATTATGAAACGTCAGTAATATTTTTTGCTGAGGCTCACATTTACCACGAATTAATAATTTTAATTTCCTTTTATGTTTGTATAATTTCTTGCTTGTACGCGTGACATTATGTTACCGCAGCATTTTGTTGGTGAAATATACAAAATGTGTGTAAATGATTCTTGTTCCGACAATGTTTATTCAGCAAACTTAAAGAGTAGTATGTTTTTCTAACTTTATAATATGGAATATCACCTGTCTCGTGTTGTTGTTTTATTTTAATACAAGCGGGTTGGTAGACCGAATTATTTATATGTCTCAAATGAATTTTGTCGCGTACACACTACGCTGCGTCACTACCACTATAGTTGTTCAATTAACTTCTAAAAGAAATATAAACACACCTATATTTATCCTGGACCTTCTGTTTAATGTCGGCCAGGTTCTCACTAGTGATGTCCCGCTCGAGGTACTCGGAGAGCGTCTCGGTGGCGGACTCTAAGTCGCGCTGGTTATCCTCAAAGATCACTGACTGGTTGTTCTTGCGCAGGTAGTATGCGAACACGTACGTGTACATCAACGTCTGTCGGCACTGGCATAGAATGTCCACTGCCTTTTTAAGGAATTGCACCTAAAAAAATACGTTGAAAAATTCAACTAGAGGTCTATTCCAGATATTATCTTACTCTTTATTCGTTTCAGTTCTTAAATGATGATTTATATACAGTATGTTACAGAAACATGTGTTCAAAAAGACCAGTAGTGAAATACGTAATGCGCTCTAGCGACCTCATTTTAAAGCTGACAAATTGAACTTTAATATTAACTAAAGCTAAGATGTGGTTACTGAGGGGTCTGACATCAATAAAACTGACTATGTTACTAAAAATTATATTAAAAATATTATTAATCATTCATCTACACCAGAAAAATAATTTCCCTAAGCTACATCAATATTGTTTTGCTTCACATGACGTCCCTAAAATTTTATCACACTTCTCTAACAGGCTGTATGAGTAACTACACTGTATGTGATCTTAAGGGTTTTTAAAAGTCCCTTGAACTTTACAGTGATTTATATTTAAAAAGAAATGCTTAGGAGTTTTTAACGCGCAATTTTTATAGGTGTCCTAAGCATCTAAAAAGACCTGCTTGTTTTATAGATTTCTATTCTATTTCTATTTAAAAAAGACAACTCCCGCATTAGGAAAATATCCTGTGTCGCGGCTGAATTTGCGAACATACATGAAACGGACACAAAGAACACCCAGACTCAGAACAACAATTTGTGGATCACACAAAGTGTCGTCCTATGTGGGGTTTGAACCCACAACACTCGGCGTAGTAGGAAGCGGTGTGGCGACCGCTACGCCACTACGCCATCCGTGCAGTCAGATTTTAGTAACATAGCAGTTCCGATCTTTGCATCAACATATAAGTACCAAATGAAAATATATACACATGTACAAATTGTACGAGGCATGAAAAATATATAATAAAATAAGATAGCATGCAATAGAATAAAATAAAGATCGCCCAATTGTTAATTAATTAAAATTTGCTTACAAGGTGATTTTTTTCATATGGTAGCCTTATCACTACTCGTAATATAAACATGTCTTACAAGCAACCTTAATTATTTTCTCTTATTTGGCAAATGATAAAAACCTCGATCCAGCTCATGTTGTGCTGCTGCATCTCTTCCATCTTCTCCTTGATAGAGGCGTAGAGTTTGGACTCGAAGCGCAGTGACTGCATGTGATTCATATAACGGTTGCAATAGAACAAGTAGCGCTGGAGAGCGGCACGCGATCGTTCCTGGGCGTCACGAGCCGCCTTTGCCTCGTCTTCGTCATATCTGTAATTAGAAATAATGAAAAAACGAACACTAATACAGGACTGGAAGGGAGGAAAGCTCCCTCTTGCAAAAATTAGACGACGAAGGATATCTTTAGACATCCTTCGTCGTCTACTAACCTTTGATGCAGAAGAAACCAACTGTGTAAATATTATTATTATTTTATTTTACTTTAACTATCATGTCATGAAATTAAAGGTAATCTTTAAATTCCTTAGTGCATTCTTGATATAAAGCTCAAATAGCGTCAAAATTAAAAAACTCTGGTGAAAATATATTTTTTTGTGTAAAATGTCCACTTTTGTTCACATTTAAAAAAATAATAATGCTTTTTCTAAACTTACTTTGAAAGCAGTATAGAATCCATTTCATGAAATTGCAGAAAAGGTAATACATATAGCTTTATTTAGAATTTTATCAGGAAGAATAACAATTCCATATCCTAACGTTTCGTATTGAATTGTAAAAGTATTTTTTTAAATGAAACTTCCTGTCGTTCATACGTATATAAATATAGTTAAATACACTATAGTGATGTAATACCTGTTACAACTATACCAGCTGCTGCCATGTGGCTCCCATGGTCCGAGACAAACCCAGCAGAAGTCCGCCTTGCAGTTCTGGTTCTTACAGACCATGTGATTGCAACCGCCATCCTTCTCGATAGTCACGTTGCATTTAGGACACTCCTTTGTATTTGCCGCTATCCAGTTCGATGTCTCAGAGTCGTCGTCACATTTCTGCACAAAAAAAGTGACATTGACATATCAAATAAAGGGTCTTATATAATATGAATAGTTTTAAGGTTAGTTTAAATATTATAAAAAAAATACCATTATTACCTTCTCCCCCCTATTTCCCCCTAAATTATTGAGATAAAAAAAGTATCTACTGATAGATAACAGGATTTCTATAAAAATCTTAAAATAGATAAGTAAGTTTTGGTAAGTTTTGATTTCTAGTTAGAATGTAGGTTTATTTACACAATGTTAAATTTGTTCTTGACATTCTGGATTATTTCACGTGGCATTCTAAGTAGCATATAAATAACCTTAATCCACTTTCTAAGCAGACAACAGCGCACGGGGTCGTGCCAGTTCTCGCCGCACGCGAAGCAGAAGGTGTGTCCGCAGCGGCACGTGACGGGCGCCGCCTCCACGTACGCTACCTTGATGGCGTTGCTGCAGTCCGGAGACGGGCACCAGCGCAGTAGGCGATTGCACTGTATAATAATATTAAAATTATAATCCTCGTATTTAGTACTATCTTTTGCCCCTAAGCTTCGCTCGTTTTAGTTTTAATATAGATTTGTCAAGTAATTCAGATATCCCTCAGAATCAGTACTTTTGCATTGCTAACAATGCAAAATTTAATGATGAGTTAAGGCGTAACAAATTAACACGCGTCGCATTTATAATATTCATTTAATGTAATAGTTATATTATAAAGAAAAATGCTGAGTGATCGAGCGAGGCTAAGTAATACGCTTAGTCTATTAGTTAGTTACTTGCACATTTAATTTTGTTAAAGCTTGAGCTAATCCAAAACTGTTATTGTTTACTATGTATAATATGTACTTAATTTTTTGCTGCAACAATCGAACAAATTTGAAGTTTTCAAATTCTATATACCTCAACAAAACTATTAGTGATAATATGCTGATATTTGAGCTTGACCCTCGGGTCGCGCACCAGCCGCATGACAGTTGCATCGTCCACCAGAATGTCGCAGGCGTGCGCTGCACATGCTATTGTCTGGCCCTGGTAAAAAGAAAACATTACAAATTCCGGAACGGTTTAGTGATAGTGCGGGTTGGCACGGAACAATAAGTTCCATAGCAATACGCATCTATACTAATATTATAAAGCTGAAGAGTTTGTTTGCTTGTTTGAACGCGCTAATCTCAGGAACTACTGGTCCGATTTGAAAAATTCTTTCAGTGTTAGATAGCCCATTTATCGAGGAAGGCTATAGGCAAGGCTATATATCATCACGCTAAGACCAATAGGAGCGGAGCACCAATGAAGAATGTTTCAAAAACGGAGAAAATTCATTACTATTGAGAGACGCAGACGAAGTTGCGCGGGTCAGCTAGTAGGTTAGAAAATAGATTGTCGCGCGATTATCTTGTTCACATTCGAAACGAATTTATATTTCTCAGAAACAGACGGTTCTCGTAGGAATTGGAATTTGCTAGAATGATCTTTTACAAGTATTATAAACGGTATTATAAACGGACACGTCTTTTTAGTTCAGTTCGAGCTACCGCTAGCTAAACATCGAAGCGATTGAAGTGAATAGAAGTGTGACCCAGCGATCTCGGCGATCATTCCGGACTATTCTTGAGTATTGTGCGAACGTTTTTAAGTGCTGTTATAATAATCATTTTTAGTAGGATATGAGTACATAACGATTTAAGTTTATGATGTAGTCATCGATGTTAATCATATTTTTTAACGGACCTCAAAAAGGAGGAGTTTATAAATTCGGATGTTTTTTTTATGTGTTTTCATATCACATCACATCAACAGCCTTTAATAGTCCACTGCTGGACATAGGGCTCTCCTTAGAAAGGAGGTCATATGCATAACTCAGTCATATATAGACGGATTTGCAAAATTCTTTTTTTATTCAAAAGGGCTTTATTCTGAAATGGTCCTATTTAAATTTCATATAGATCTGATGATGAATTTCGGAGACTTCTAAAATGACAGCATATGAAGCGCGATTGCTGCTAGGTTTTTAGTTCTCTTTGTTAGTATTGTTTGAAGTCGGTTCAACTTTTTTTTAAAAGGATTTATCTTGTTTGCTGATCAATTGAATATGTTTGAGTACTGTTTATTGCTTACTTCAGAAAACAATATAAAACTTTAGGTATATTTACAATAACCTTCAAAACAATATCGTAAACATTCACAATGTAATGTTATGGGACTCAAAATGTTATACTCACCTTAGTTTTACTTTACGATCACGAAGTTAACGATACAAAAAAAAACGTAATTTAAAAATGACTTTTCCTACATGTTGAGAATAGTTTAAAAAATATGCACTATAATGGTAGGTAGGTACCTCTAATTATTGTACTTTATCGTTGACCTTGACTATAGATATATAACTGAAAGAATACACTTACTAGACCCTCCTCCATTATTTTTGTAGTTAAATATTCACACCAGCATTGTGTGCAAAATCTGTGGCCGCACTCCAGACCCGTCATCATCTGTAAAATACGCTGTTATGAAGATACAAAACTTGTTAAGTGTAAAGAACGTAGAAAACACGAATTAAATATTTTAATTGAATTTTTAAATGACATTGATTTATGCAGAGAGAAGTGACTTTAACACCATGTGTTTGATTTTAAAAAAGAAACAGGAAGGTATTTTTTTTTTGTTTTTGTAGTTGAACAGTTTCCTCTGCCTCTATATATATTGTAGGTATTTATCTACATACAGATATTATACTATTATACACGGTGCAACGTAGAATATTCGACTGAAACACCGCATGTAGGCGCGTATAGGAGCACTGTTTGCCACACGCCCAAGCACGAGCGTTGACGCGCTTATCAGCTCGTATAAGCGCGGCACTAGTGCCGGTTGAAGCGAACACGGCCGAAAAGCGTGTTGCGTGCGTGTAAGCGCGTATGCCGAACGAACATATACGCGCAAAAAAAAACGCTGCTTTGAAACTGAAACCACCCACCTCAGGGGGCGTGGCTTCCATTATAATTATTTAATTCTTCACTTAAATATTGACAAACTCGCTACAAGGCTTAGCAGTATATGAATTACGTATTTGGTTTTTGTATATAATTTGCGTATGGAAAATGTAATTTGTAATTGCTATTTCAATTACCTAGTCCTAAGGTATTTTGAAATTTATACTATTAATAATTAGGGCTTTATAATTATTTTTACATAAATACGTTTTTAGATCTTATCTTAACTCAGACATTGAAATTGGAGTATGTTAGCTTTTTTAATTCATTAGCAAGTACTTATACTTTAAAAATTTAGGCAAATATAAAAAATATCACTTAATAAATGACTATTTACTATTTGGGTATGATACTAGATACACATTTTTACATACAAATCAACATTTATACATACTTTATTATAGTATAAACATGAAAACACGTCCAATACATACTGTCCTACTTATGTATAATAGAAAAGACGAGAATCTTTCTCAAGATCTAGAGATATACAGCAAGAACAGCGAAAGAAAGAATCAACTGTACTGTAATAAAGTGAAGGCCAGAGAAGGAGAAGTTTATTAGAAGAACGTAGAGTTCTGTCTAGTTAGAGCAGAGATGTTAGAAGTATGATATTAGATAAGGAGTCCAGTCTTTACATAACATTTTATTTAATTGTTTTATATAGTTCCTTAAATAGACTCTGTATACAATCTAGGACACTTTGAAATGCTTAATTATTTAACTAATTTATCATTAGAATACGAAGTGTCGCCCTCCCCCCCCCCCCCTATTTGGTGTTCATTAAGACAGCATTAAATTTGAATCTCATCATCTGCCTACCCTTTTCCCAATTTTATTTGGGGTCGGCGCAGTATGTATGATTTTTCCATTCTACTCTGTCATGCGTCATCTCACTGTTTACTCCCTTCCTAGCCATATCCTCACTGACGCAGTCCATCCACCTCTTCTTCGGTCTGCCTCTTCTCTTGTACCCTTCAACTCTCATACCTGAAACTTTCTTCGCCACATTTTCCTCATCCCTCCGCATGACATGTCCATACCAAGATGTCACGTCATGTCATGTCACACCACACATCCATCTCAGCATTCGCATTTCGGCTACGTTCAGGCGTCTCTCATGCGTTCTCTTAATGGGCCTACTTTCAGAGCCATACAGGACGGCAGGTCTGATAATAGTTTTATAAATTTGTCCCTTCAGTGTTAAGGGGAAACTGGGGTCACAAGTTGATCCCGTTACCTGCCGCCACTTCATCCATCCCGTATTGATTCGATGCTGTACAGTTCGATCAATCTCACCATCACATTGTAAGAGGGAGCCGAGGTACTTGAAATTGCATTAAATTTGAATCTGACATCACTAAAAGTTAAAAAGGAAAGTGTTACGTTGTTTAAATTAAGAACGAATGTTAGAGTGAATTAAAAAAATAATTGAAATGATATTGTTTTAAAATTCCAATTAATAATTATTAATGCACATAATAGATCAAATAGTAAACAAAATGTTGTATTTCTCAGTTAGAGCTAAGTAAATACAGTTTTACTCAGTTCACATTACCCGGCAAGCGACAGTAAACCTTTTTCGTTATCTATGTAACTATACCAAATTTCTCTGAATCTATGCAAGTAAATTTGGGATGATAAAATAGGTATTTTATTACAAAATAATTAACAAACAATAACATTAATCCAATTGAAAATAAATACATAAGCTAGAGTATAAATAATTTAAATTAACTAGCAAAAGGCGGTGTTTTAGGAGGGCTCGCGAAGTTTTCAAGGGGGTTTTTTAAAGCGAATTATCTTTTAATATATGTAAATTATTAATATGGGATTCATTAATTAAATACTTTTAACTAAACACTTGAAACAAACCCTATACCAACCCGTCTTCATTCTAAGGAGAGGGCCTATGTCCAGCACTGGACTATTCAAGGCTGTTGATGAACTAAACACTGTTTACATCAAAATGAATTCTTTAGTTTTTTAACAGATGACGTAAGTAGTAATAGTTTATTTGAAAAAATATTAATATATAGTTTTATAATTTTCGACAGAAGGTCAGTAATACCTACAATAAAATTCTAAATAATAAAAATTCTTACATCTTCTATTTTTATTAAATGCAATATACATTGTAATATATTATTGGAGTTGTCTTGAATATGTTCAAAGCGTATTCCTTAGTTTCAGAAAAAAATGTGTATGGATGTCTTAATAATCCAGATGGGATACATGACAATAATATAATAAACCTACATATAGTTTGAAAAATAAACATTGAATCGGTGTCATCATCATCAGCCTATCTCAGTCCACTGCTGGACATAGGCCTCTCTTATTGTACGCCACTTAGGTCGATTTTAGGCTTCTCGCATCTAGCTCCTGTCAGCAATCTTGCGCAAATCGTCACTCCCCCTGGCCTGTGGGCGTCCTACACTAAATGAGAGACGCGGTCTCCACTCAAGAACTCGTTTTCCCGAACGGTTGTCGAGATCTGAATCGGTGTACTCAAATAAAATTATGATCCCAGCTTTTAATAGCATTTGTGATTTAAGATGAAAACATGTAATCGCTATTCATCATAAAAAAAAAACACAAAATTTATAGAATGTACAAAAGAATAACAAATGGCTAATTTTGGACTAAATTAAGTAACTTAACTAATTTTGGTTGTGTCAAACTAACTATAGTTGAGTCCTACGTTTTCAGAATTCGAAACATAGTTTTACAGGACTAAACTAATTTTTAGTTTAGAGTTTTTGAACAACAGACTTAGCACAAATGTCTGTTTAGCTGTATGATTAAATCTGTAGAGAAACATCATAATAAAAGATCACTTACAGAAGTTGGTAGAATTGAAAAACATATTTCACACTCTTCTGTTCCCGATGTTGATATCCGTCTGGGCAACTGAAAACAATAAAAAATCTGACTTTAACTGTTTGGATAATTAAATTGAATTAAGAAATAATCACGCGAGCTAAGCGCGGGCAGTAGTTAGTCTATATGCAAATAAATAAAATTAAAGTGTCTGTTTGTAATGTCAAAAGAATAGGTTTTTTTCACGCTCATATGGTTATTTGCATGATACCTATGCCTAAAAACCAGTTTAAATATTTTTTGTCTATCTGTCTGTTTGTTTGTTCCGGGTTATATTCAAGTAGCTGTACCGATTTTGATAATATTTTACTAGCAGGACTGTATAAGGAGTAACTTAAGCTATTTTTTCTCTCAGAAAAACTATAAAAAAAAACCCGGTCCAGGAATCGAGCTAAGACAGCAATTTTTAAATTCCACAGAAATGAAGTTGCAGACACAAGCTAGTTAAAAATATATATTCTGTCTAATACTTTAGGGGGAAGTCCCGTAGCGCCGGACGGCACCTAGCGCCGGACACTCATACTATTTTGACAAACGTCAACGCGATCTATTTATAAATCGGTGAAAGGGGTGAGGGGGAACGTAGCGAGATAGGATCACGCAACGCGATTTGCCAGTGAGACGCACAGTCGTGGTGGAAGCCGTGAATTGCTGTTTTTGGTGGGAAAGCGTTGCGTCACGTAAATTTCAAGTAAGTATTACTGCTATGGTTTTATCCTTAATTGTTTTTGTTATTTGTTAATAAAGACAGTGTTTCACTATAATTATTATATTGTGAAAAGTTTTTATTAAATACCTAAACAGTTTTAGTATGAAATACGTAATTTTGGACGTTTCCTGTCCCCTATTTTCGGACACAAAGGTGTCCCTTACCACCGGACAGTTTATAGGTTAGCTTTTTTATGAAGCATTTGTACTTATTGTAATGATGATTGTTTGTTGTTTTACAGGATAGAAGGAGAGAGATATTTGAAAATGCAAGAGAGAAAAAAAAAAGGAAAATGGGATCAGCAAAGTTTAAAAAACTGCGATGAACAAGATTTTGTCCAAAAAAATGAGTTTGAGGGCAGCTTCGTCACGTTACAATGTTCCAAAAAGTACTCTACATGATAAAATAACGACATTGAGCAGTGAAAAAGAAGTCACGTGTGCAACCAAAAGTTGGTAGATTCACAAAAACCTTCTCACCCGAGTATGAGCAAGTTTTAGTGGACCGCATAAGAGATTTGTCTAATAGATGTCTGCCCCTGATGAAAAACGAGTTTTTGAAGTTAGCTTACGACTTGGCTAAAGCTATGAAGATTCCCCATGAGTAAACAAACCAAACGTGGCAATAACGACAACAAAAAGGAGCCGTTAACTGAAGTATCAAATATAGAAAAAACGACTTGTGTTTAGAAGACCACGACGAGGACTGGATACAATGCTCCAGATGCCAATAATGGGCTCATGAAGCATGTGCAGACGTTCCAGAATGTGGAGATGCCTACATATGTGATAGATGCTAAAAGTTTTAGAATGTCCGGCGCTTGGGGTTTGAAGATTAACCCGTCCGGCACTAGGTGCCAATGTCAAAGTCCTTTATTTTTTTACCAAAACTTATTTAACATTCCTAAACTATGTTTACGCAGAATTTGTATCTTTGTTATTTGATTTTGATTTTATGTTTTGTTAATTTAAGTAATTCATAAATAAATACATATTTCTCGATGTAGTTTTTATTTTATTTCCTGAAAACCTTATGTGTCCGGCACTAGGGGACTTCCCCCTACTCATGACTTTCAAGTATCTTAGTACAACTGGTACTTGGAAACTACAGATTTTTACCACAATAACAGTTCTGCTTTTTTTTAATTTGATCTTATAAACAATAAGTCATATTTATCCCTTATGGTATGTATTAAGATGCCAGCAATGTACTATTCAGAATGCAGTCAGATCCACATCAACGGATTTCTTGATGGGCTTACAGGAAGTGCATCAATGTCCCTACTGACGGATAAACATTCTAAAGAGCCACAAACTTTCATTACAAATTATTGCAATAAATAATGCCATACCAAACATTTAATTTTCTATAAACCTAAGGGAAATTGGTTGTAATAGTTGACCCAATTCAATTTAAATATAAGTGGAATTACTAGAACGTATGCAGTTTGGTTCTAGTACTTGCGGGATGAATATTGGATAATTTGCAAACTGAAAATTTTGCTAACTAGACTTTCTACAACCACTAGACATTGCGTGGATTGGATATTCTGGGCCTAATTCCATTTCACAACTTAAAATATTAAGATGTTTACATGATGATTAATTTATATTTATAAACCTAAATAATTTTAATTCTACATTAAAAGTAGTTGTCATTTCAGTTTATTAATTTATGTTTGAACTGTTGTCAATCTATTGTTTTGTTTAATGTTGTTATATGTATACTGTTAGCATGTATCTTATAAATAAATAAATGATAATAATAAAATTTAGATTTGAAAGCAAAGTTGTGTATCTTAAAACCAGTTTTTACGCTACCACTTGTTAAAATATTGTAGTGAGTTTAATATGAATGTCAATATGTATGTGGTAGAGTATGTTTCTTTGTTGTATGAACATTCTCAAGTATACTCAAATTTACTCCAAGACTCATCAAGTCACCATCTCATAAAGTTCACTAACTTAGAAATAAACACTAAGAGAATAACAAACAACTATATCAGATGCAATATGTGTCATTGCTTACAACTGTAATCATTACCTTCGGCCTTTGTATGACTGGTTTCCTGAATGGATTAATGACTCTAGCCTCAGAGAACAACTGGTCTTGGTCACCATCATAGAATCTTTCCATGAGCTTTTCCTTATCCCATTTAAAATGGTTTAGCAATATGCGGGTTGTTGTTGCAGGGATCTAGAACAAAACATATTTATGAGTCACAGTAGTAATTATTATAATAATATATATAATACATTTCACTTAATATACACTGTAAACAAAACCAATTTATAGCACCTATATCAATAATCATTTGATAAGCAAATTTTTATGACACTTTACTGTAACCAACAAAATACAAATTCTCGGCAGTCATTGCTGTCTCAAAACTGAATTAAATACTTTATTTTGAAACAAACCTATAAGACTACATTGATTTCGACCACTGCTGATAAAAATAATAACAAATATTATTTTATACTTGGTCACTTTAGACATGAGTCATTCATCCCAAAACCAACTTGGATTTTTAACAATGATATGACATATATGATAAATATTTGATTAATATTTTCTTTCTTCAACTAAGAAATAGGTGCAAAGGGATTCTAATAAGTATGGACAGTAGATGAAAATGTATTCATCTTCGTTTTTCACCATAACTAGGTTTATAGAGCAAGAATATGTTAGTCCAAATGTAAGCTTAACACAATGGTACTGGTACTCCACATCAAACTAATGCAATCAGAACCTTTCACGGCGTCGAGCACAATATAAATTGGAATGCGACACAAAAGAACGTATTGAAGTACAACAGTGTACGAGTAACCTCATTCGATTAGTCCATTGTTTACCACTAACACACTGACCTCGACAACAGTATTCACTTCTTTGATGCAGTCAACCATATGCTGAACGATTTCCTCCGTAGATAACACTTCGTATCGATATTCCTCAAGCTCTGTTTGTCGTTCTCGTGTACTATGTGTCTCAACGTCCATTGCAAAGTCGACATCATCTCCGCTAGACTCATTTCCCGAATCCACATCATCTTTTGTGTCATCTTCAGAGTCCATCGTCGAAACTTTGACTAAATATGTATACTAGATAATAAGGGTGCAGCCAGAGTACGTCTAATGATGAAATAATTACACCTAAGATTTAGGAAAGGTCAACAATGAAGAAAATAGTTCACCCGCGGGCTGCCAAAACCTCTGACGTATATATGGACTGTAGTTGCCAGCGTCAAAATATAAAACACCTTACAGTGCAATCTTGATTTAAATGCAATAATAACAATTACTTGACAAAAGGATTTTTTACGGTAAATAATCTAACATTCGATAAAATATTTTAAACTTTTCATGGAATTTATGTCATTAAAAAGGAAACCATAATAATTAAAAAAAGCTAAAGCACAAAATAACAGTGACATAGGAGGATATATTAAAAATCATACATAGAAAAATAGAAAGAAATATAACCTTTAATAGCATAAATAACGAAATAATACTGACAATGAAAATAGTATTCGACTTCTTCAAAATGGCAGATTGGCTAGAGTCGACTTGGCAGCCTCTCCTACCGATTGTTACACAGGTGTTTATTGGACATGGCTGCTTCGGTAAGTACCTAAGTCGTATAGGCCGGAAGCTAACGTCTGAGTGCCATGACTGCGAAGGTTGTCACGACGACATTTCACTTACGACTACTCTGCACTGCATCATTTTTGAGTGTTCTGCGTGGACATGATAACCAAGCAACCTCCTGACAGCTCTTGGTTTGGGCAGTCTCTTTCTAAAGACCAATGTCTGTCTATGATCCAAAACGAGAGACCTTCAATAGACGCAACGGGCGCTGGAGAACGAAATAATGTCCAACTTCCGTGAACGCGAGCTTGAAGACAACGATTCGAGCTAACCATTATCCCTGTAGAAGCAGGCCTGAGATGGTGGCACAACGTACTCTGCGCATATGGCGTCGACGCGATATGCAATATTGCAAAGAGTTTGGGCTAGTTGTTTATCCGGCTGCCTGCTTGCCGCTATTTCTTTTTGGGAATGTAACCGTTTTGATGTGAAACATCTAATGTGGAGTTTCGGCAGGGCCTTAGGTGCGATACTCTGGTGAGCCATCGTCGCCACAGCAATACATATTGACGACTTTGATAAATCAGCAATCAAATTATGAGCATTAATTATTTCTACATAACAATTTTTGTTGTAAAACTTCCAATGCCGAGGGAAAACCATCGATTGGCGCTGTAACGCGTCGCCACGTCATGAGTCACCTCGCTGTGATAATTTATGTAACATATCATGCGATGCTGCTGACTGCTTTACTACAAAATAAATTCGATATTTCACATCTGCGTCCCGCCACGCCTCAACGGCATAAATAAACAACAACAATGCTCAACAACCGCCAGGCATGATCACCTCGTCTGGTTGGACGTTCCTCCCTATGTGTTGGAGGGGCGTGACACTTATCACTGTTAAATAACTACAAAAGGAAGCTATTTAATCAAAATGGTAGTGAATACTTTGTTACCATAAGGTATTGTGGAGGAACGGGTGTCATGTCCCTGGCGGGCCGCGGCCCCAACGGTTGATGTTGGGAAGTTGTATATATGCTAATCGCCGAGGGAATTTTTTATATCGCGATACAGGATTAGCAATTCTTATTTTAGTAGTTACTCCGTAGTTCGGTGTGTCTTCATTAGATGGCGCTGTAGTATGTTTCTGTTTCTTTGAATGTAGGAGTCGCCACATCACTCCCCTCCAAGACTGGAGGTCGATATATGATGAGTCAGCTGTCTATGCCCTGTTGTGGTGCGTGCAAGTGCCAGTAGTGAGTAGTTCCAGTGGGTCGGAACTGAGTGCCACTAGCCCCAGTGAGTCGGGGCTGAAGTCCGCTGATCCCAGTGAGTCGGGATGGCGTGCGTTGCGCGGTGCTTGCGGTGAAGTCCCCAGTGAGTCGGGGCGGTTGCTGCGTAGTGGCTGGCTGCTGCGTAGACGGGAGAGAAAATGCTCTTCTTACGTGGACCGTTGGTGCAGTGTGCTGTGCCTAGACGCTGATGAGGCCGTAGAGGTAACCAGGCTGGAGCGGTCGCTACCTGCGTGTGGTATCCCTGTAGAGGCCGAGATTGCTGGCTGGCTGAGACTTGATTACTGCTCATCGCTGTGGGAGTGTAGACGATGGTGCTGCTGATGATCTGCTCCTTTTGAAGGCTGCTTCCAATCACGTCGGAGTCACCACTGTGGAGGAACGGGTTTCATGTCCCTCCAACACAAAGGGAAGAACCTCCGACCAGGCGACGTGATCATGAAGTTGTATATATGCTAATCGCCGAGGGAATTTTCTATATCGCGATACAGGATTAGCAATTTTTATTTTAGTAGTTACTCCGTAGTTCGGTGTGTCTTCATTAGATGGCGCTGTAGTATGTTTCTGTTTCTTTGAATGTGGGAGTCGCCACAGTATGAATTAAAAAAAACTGTTTTTAGAAAAAGACTGTAGGTAGACAATAAACAGTTACAACATGTTATGACATAAGTACTTAGTTTTTTTTTTTTTTTATTTATAAAAGACAACTCCCGCATTAGGAATATATCCTGTGTCGCGGGGGACTTTACAAACATACATAAAACGGACACAAAGAACACCCAGACTCAGAACAACAATTTGTGGATCACACAAAGTGTCGTCCCATGTGGGGTTTGAACCCACAAAGTGCGGCGCAGTAGGAAGCGGCGTGGCGACCACTTAACCACTACGCCATCCGTGCAGTCAAGTCAAGTTGATTTTAAAGTTATGTCCTGACATTACAAGTACTAGTAATATGACTACATAAATAAATTATAATATACCTTTATTGACAATCAATATACCTATATAAATGTATGCATTTACCACCTTTTTGGCTATTATTGTTAATAGTAACGATTTTATTTCTTTCAATGAAAAAATTCAGGATAAAAAAGAACACAATTATTTTTAATTTTTCATTCTTGATTTTTTTGCCATAACAACAATCAAGTCTCGAAAAATTAAAATTTTGTTAATTGTAAAAAGTTTTTTACATACAGATGATATAAGTTTCTTAATTGTAATTTTTTTTTGCATCATTTTTTCCTTTACGATTTAGGTACTTTTAATAGATTAATTATTTATCTGAATTCTTTGTTGAGAAAAAAAACCTTGTCAAAAATACTTATGACCAGAATATAAGAATCATCATCAGCCTATTGCAGTCCTCTGCTGGACATATGCCTCTCCGATTGAGCACCACTTCGATCGATTTTCAGCTTCTCGCAAAAGAATAAAACAATCTAAATGTTAACGACATCATTTCAAGATAAATGTGTCTTATCTTTATAACATATTTAACTGCAATAACCAAATTACTCATGAGAGTTTTGTGCTGTGTTATTACCATAAGCAGTCACATCAAAGTCACTTTCTAAATTAACTAACTTAATAGTAAACCGTTTATAGTAAAAAGAAACATTTGTTAACACACAATATTTACTACAAATAAATACAACAATTCTAAGCTTAACTTTTCATTATCAAGTTATCCAATGTGTTTTGAATGGACTCAAATTGAAGAAATATTGAATAAAGTTCTGGATGTGTCATCTCCATTTCAACATTATTATCTTGTTTATTTAATGATAGGTAAGCTTTTGGCACCTTGCACTTTTTACGAAAGTCTGAACTCAGTTCTGCATTTAATTTCCAAGAAAAACTTAATGAATCAGACTGGTCATTTGTTAAAGGTCCAATGTCATTCAAAGTTGACCTTGTTTCCGCTGACCATACTTTTACTATGGACTCAGCTTTATCATCATCAAGTCCTATAGTTTTGAGATCAATTTTAAGATCATTTGGCATAAATATGTACTTTAATATTTTCATAAATATGTACTGAAGTGTTTTTATGCTAAAAATGAGCTGTTCTTGATTAACATTAAATATTTTCTCCAGTTTCAGTCTTTCTTCTTCAGTAAATATTTCTACGTCCTGTAACTTCAATTTAGCTACAATGCGACGTAGAAACTGCTCAAATCTTGTTTCATCTATGTTGTTGATTGAAGCCAAGCCCTTAGTTAAACTAAAAACAAAATCATGAATGCGAATAAATACTTATTTTAAAAATTATTTATCAGAACATAATAAAAATAAAATCGCATCACCTTGGACTTAATTTTAACCAATGACAATCCATAGCATGGGATTAAATAAAATCTGAAGTTCAGTAATAGCTTTCAAGAATTTATTTTTCCTACGAAAATGATAATATTGATGCACAATATTATATCAGTCGATGGTAAATAATAATAAACTTCTGAGTCTGATTCCGACAAACTGTAGTTTTGACATTAATAGTGACGTGACTTCATGTGACGGTCAAATCGAACTTACTGTAAGTTCGTAGAGCGTAGACAGAGAATAGAGGTATTCTAGTATTCTCTGTCTACGTCGTAGAGTAGAGTGTGTACTTAGTGAGTTCAAGTTGGGCATGGGAAAAAATCACAGTGAAATGTGCAAGACCAGTGATTTATCATTCGATTTTATCGTACGTAGGTTAGGGTTACTACGTACTGCTGTTTTCAAAAGACCCTATTTCCCCTATTTAACAGTAAATTTAGTCATTATGTTATTATATAACGCTACCATTCCCTAGATAATAATTTAAAAAATACTTGATTTACTGTTAAATAGCGTCTAACTTACTAACCTAGCAACTCTAATCTACAGACGCAAAAATCGTATGATAAATCACAGTTCACTGTGATTTTGTGCCATGTCTAGTTCAAGTGAATAGAACTGCTTGATACACTTTATAACTTATTCATTTAAATTTATTACAGATTACGGCCGGTAACATAGTCCTTTAGTTTAAAACTGTATCAACCCATATACCTTCATCTAAACGGTGTCATATAATTACTTTCGTAATAATATAGGAAATTAATAATTTGTAACAAATCAAATGGTACATATTTATATGCAATTTAATTGTTGTACTTATAAGATTAAGAATACGGAGAGTCTCCACGTCACCATTCCTTTTTATCCCATGGGTGTCGTAAGAGCCGCATGAGGGAGCCAACTTTGTAGGATAACGCCACTGGAATGAGTAGGAAAACTTGAAAGAAACCCTATACTAACCCGTCAGGCCCATGTGGTATGGCAAAAACCTCCTTTCTAAGGACATCCCTATGTTTAGATTAAGATATAAATACTATGTTATGAACTATTTGTAGTACTACTTAAGTAAAACATCTTCACCGAACAAAATAATCGTATTGTTATTTATTTTTTAAAATAAATTTAAATAATTTAATATTTAAAAAAAACCGAGTAGTCTAATGCAGGAGTCATCGGGTCCCTTCGTGTTGGGCAGCAGCCGCGCCAACGCACGCGCTGCCCCATCCAACTTGGGGACCAGACCTCGGAAATGATGTCCGAAGTCCCATCGGCCATCGAGTACGAGCCCCAGATACCTGATCGAGGGCTCGTATAAAAGTCTTTTTTATGATATCTATTTTACGATACCCGATGATGCAGCTCAGGCTGAAATAGCATTCAGATGGAGTTACTTTCCACTTTGCTTGTTTAAATTATTAATGAAATTCTGTTTTCATTGTGTATCCTTTTATTGTTAAAATGCAAACGCTTGAAAACTGCTGCGCAATGTAGTCTTTCACAATAAATATTTTAATTTTATGGAAAGAAGTAAAAAAACGAACTCCCACAGAAAATTTATTAAAACAAGTCACCCCTGTCAGTTTATATCTGACATGTCCGCTGTCACAATCCCAAAATCGTTTATCGTGGCAGGGTTGAACAATTTCGTGCGTGTGTGGTTTTGTTCTGGATAGGTTATATTTTATGATGTCGTGTACTTACTGACGGGCTTAAAAACATTAAACGAAAAAGTAAACATGGCCTTAAAATTGGAAAAAGTACCAGAAAGTATTGATTTTCCCAAGGAAGAGGAAAATATTCTTAGGTTTTGGAAAGACATCGATGTGTTTCACAGCTGTCTAAAACAGTCAAAAAATAAACCTAGGTTAGTTAGAAAGTGCTATATTTTTTAATGTCTTTTCAGTGAATGCTAGCGCGATCTAACCATACAATAAAATCAAAGCTCGGTTTACAAAACTTGTGCAATAATTTTATCATATTATATTACCTAGTAATGTGGATTGTAACCTGATGGTGATTATATTAAAACAATAGCTCTCTTTGTAAATCGCTGAACATTATTAATAATTTAAATTTAAAACCTATGTGGTTTATAAACAATCATCATCATCAACAGCCTACAACAGTCCACTGCTGGACGTAGGCCTCTCCTTAAAAAGGAGGTTTTGGCCTACTATGCCACGCTAGCCAGACGGTTTGGTATAGGGTTTATTTCAAGTTTTCCTTCTCTTTGCAGTGCTGTTGTCCTGCATAGTTTGAATGTGCACGAGATGAATAGGGGTGGTGACATTTTGTATTCTTAATCCATCACCACACAGACAACCACAATAAACTACGCTCAGTGTTAGTCTAATAGAGATAGTAATTTTAGGTCTGCTATAACGTGACATAAAGATACGACCTGTAAATATTTGACGATCAAACTGTAAATCATTACTAGACACTGACCAAACTAAAACCTGAGTTAGTGGATGAAGTAGAATTAACAAAATATTTATATCTGAGACTGTCAATCACAGATATGTACACATTCTCTTAAATAGCTACATGAATTGCTTTATGAGCTTTAAAATGAATAACTACCTGTTCATGTCTATGAATATAAAATCTAGGGTTTATATATTATTATAGGGTTTATTTATAATTCCTTTAACGTAAACTCCACTCCCGCTCTAATGCCCCAAAGAATCACAGTAACCCAGATTTCTTTTTAATAGGTTTTCATTCTATGATGGGCCCCCTTTTGCCACGGGTCTTCCACATTATGGCCACATCCTGGCAGGTACTATCAAGGATGTTGTCACACGATATGCACACCAACAGGTATGGTATTTGTTCCTTACACTCTTGATATCCCTCTTTTTTAAATCATTTTATGATTTATTTTTTAATTTTAGGGATATCATGTAGAAAGGCGTTTTGGTTGGGACTGTCATGGTTTACCTGTGGAATTTGAAATTGATAAGACTTTGGGTATTAAAGGACCAGAAGATGTTGAGAAAATGGGTATTGCCAATTATAATGCAGAGTGCCGTAAGATCGTTATGAAGTATGCTGGTGAATGGGAAATGATTATCACACGAATGGGGCGTTGGATTGGTAAGACTTAAAATTAAATGTCTAAACATCTTATCCACAGTGGTTATAATGTTCCATAGGTTTATACAGAAAACTTTAGATTATAAAAATCATGGTAGTCTGCATATGTAGCGAATATGAAACGGTTATTTTTGTTTATAACTTTGTATTTGTCCCTCATAATAATATATAATACAAATCTTAATAAAAATCTAATTATTGATTGCATTTAGGCATAGGAAGTTTCATCATTTTTGTTATAGCCACATTTAGATGGTTTTACACCTATTATTTTAAAACCCATTTTTTTTTAAACAAAGCTTTAATTTAAATGCAACATAGAAAGTAGTCAATAAAAAATATTAGCATTTATGTGTGGAGTTTCACTTGCTCCTATATTATTAAATATCTTAAAATTTATAGTGATGGAGTAATAACAGAAACTATCTTTATTTTTCAGATTTCAAGAATGATTATAAAACTCTCTATCCATGGTACATGGAGTCTATTTGGTGGGTATTCAAAGAACTCTATAACAAAGGCTTGGTTTACCAAGGAGTTAAGGTGATGCCTTTTTCCACTGCTTGTGCAACACCACTCTCCAATTTCGAATCTGGACAGAACTACAAAGACATTGTTGATCCTGCTGTTGTTGTATCATTCCCTACTTCAAATGGTTTTTCAATTCTTGCATGGACCACTACACCATGGACATTGCCTAGTAACATAGCTCTTTGTGTTAATCCTAAATTGGTTTATTTAAAATTAAAGGAAAAATCAACTGGAACTTGCTATGTTCTCCAAGAAGCGAGATTTCCTGTTATTTTTAAAAATGTTGAAGATTTTGAAGTCCTTGAAAAATTTACTGGTGACAAACTAAAAGGGATCAAATACACACCCATTTTTGATTACTTTGTTGAACAGTGTCCTAACGCATTTCAGGTATTAGCTGACAGTTACGTCACAGATGATTCTGGTACTGGCATTGTGCATCAAGCACCATACTTTGGTGAGGATGATTTTAGGGTTTGCCTTGCCGCTGGAATTATAACAAGGGATCAGGAAATTATTTGCCCTGTTGACTCAAGCGGCAGGTTTACACTTCCAGTTAAAGACTTTTTAGGACAATATGTCAAAGATGCTGACAAAAACATTATTGCCAATTTAAAGGCTCGTAATCGACTTCTTCAAGTTGGAACAATTAAGCACAGTTATCCGTTTTGTTGGCGATCTGAAACACCTCTTATTTATAAAGCAGTGCCATCTTGGTTTGTTCGTGTTGAACAACTGACTGAAGGCCTTTTGAAATCATGCGAAGAGACATACTGGGTTCCAGAGTACGTTAAAGAAAAAAGATTTAAGAATTGGTTAAAAGACGCCCGTGACTGGGCTATAAGCCGCAATAGGTACTGGGGCACACCAATTCCTTTGTGGATTTCTGAAGATCGACAAGAGGTAGTGTGTATTGGCAGCATTGCTGAGTTAGAAGCTTTAACAGGTGCAGAGGTTAAAGATTTACATAGAGAAAGCATTGACCATTTACAAATTCCATCGTCCAGACCCGGACACCCTCCATTGAAAAGAGTATCTGAAGTATTTGATTGTTGGTTTGAATCAGGTTCTATGCCATATGCCCAAAATCATTACCCATTCGAAAATAAAAAAGAGTTTGAAGATATTTTCCCCGCGAACTTTATTGCTGAGGGAATCGATCAAACTAGGGGCTGGTTTTATACTCTTATCGTTTTATCAACAGCATTATTTCAAAAGCCACCATTTAAAAATTTAATTGCAAATGGGTTAGTTTTAGCCAGTGACGGTCAGAAAATGTCAAAAAGAAAGAAGAACTACCCTGATCCTTTAGAAGTAGTTAAAAAATACGGTGCCGATGCTTTGAGACTATATCTTGTAAATTCTCCAGTAGTAAAAGCGGAAAATCTTCGTTTTAAAGAAGAAGGTGTTAGAGATATCATAAAGGATGTATTTTTACCGTGGTATAACGCTTTTAGATTCCTTATGCAAAATGTAGACAGAATTGTCCAAGAAGATAAGATTGATTACAAATTTAATGATAAGGCAGTAAGAGACAACGTCATGGACAAATGGGTCACTTCGTTCACGCAATCTCTCATTAATTTCGTAAAGAAAGAAATGGCGGCATATAGGTTGTATACAGTTGTTCCGAAGCTGACGAAGTTTATTGACCATTTAACCAATTGGTACGTGAGAATGAATAGAAAAAGGCTAAAGGCAGAAAACGGCGTCAAAGACTGTCAGGTGGCTTTAGATACGCTATTTGGTGTATTATTTGATATGATTAGAGTGATGTCACCATTTACCCCTTTCCTTACAGAATTTATGTATAAGACATTACGACGACTTTTACCCGGGTCATCACTGGAGAGTGTACATTTTAACATGATACCCGAAGCCAAACTAGAATTAGTAGATACTAATATAGAAAGGGCTGTTCAAAGAATGCAGACAGTAATTGAGTTAGGAAGAGTACTGAGAGATAGGAAAACTATACCGATAAAATATCCTTTGCCAGAAATGACCATCATCCATCAGGATTCGACCTATTTGGATGATGTAAAATCTTTGGAAAAGTATGTTTTAGAAGAGATGAATATAAAGAAATTACATTTAACAAGTGATAAAGAGAAGTATGGCATAAAACTTAGGGCGGAACCAGATCATAAAATTCTCGGAGCGCGACTTAAAGGCGATTTTAAAGCTGTCACACAAGGCTTGAAAAGTTTAACTAATGAACAATGTGAAACGTTAATAGCTAATGGATTTGTAGAAATAGTTGGCCAACGTATTGATGTATCTGAAGTCAGGATTATATTCCAGGCTGAAGGCAACGATAAATATGAAACGCATAGTGATAACGATGTACTAATTTTGCTTAATGTTACACCTGATCAAGATATGCTTGATGAAGGTTTTTCTAGAGAAATCGTAAATAGAGTTCAAAAGTTACGAAAGAAAGCCCATTTAGTGCCTACTGACGAAGTAAATGTTTACTTTTCTGTGAATAAGTCGAGTGATATATTGCGTATAATAAATTCCCACCGCGAGTTTATTGAGTCTACAGTTAAAGCGCCATTAATAACTATTGAAGAAATAAAACCATATTTACCGGTAATTATTGAAGAAACTCAAGAACTAAAAGGTTCATCTTTAAAATTAGTAATCACCTGGCGGAAGGAAGTGGAGGTGCCTGCAAATCCGTGGGCTAATATAATTTTACAGGGCATTAAGCCTCGGTTAGGGGTGACGAACAGTCAAGCTAGTGTAATACTGAAGGACAAAACAAATAAGTTCATTAGCCTGAGTCAACTTTATGATGAAGTGACTGTTCTCTTTGGCTTGTACGGTATCAAATTTACTTTGTGGAACAATGGCAGTGAAATAAAAGATACTAGTACATTGAATGCTAAAACAATTATAGTTTCAGCAACAAAACCAAAAGATTGCCAGAGTCACACAACGCCGTACTGCAAATTTGTTAACGTTGCTAATGGAACTAAATCAGTAACGTGGTTTTTAGAAAATCCGGTGGGCAAAAAAACTTTGAATCAAAACGATGCATTAAAGTTCATTACAAATTACTTGGGAATTAAATCCGGCGATGTGGATAAGAAGCTGTTTAAATAATGTTTACACACAAGTTATTATGTCTCGATAACATCGTATAACTTCACTTATTTAAATTGAATAACATTAACATTTGCTATATATTGCACATCGGAATTTCGCTAGACAAGATTTTCTAAATAATATTTCTAAATACACATATGTACTCGTATATCTGTAATACTGTTTCATAACCTCTGCTTTACGAGAATAATCATCAATGTCTGTCTTAGTCTTAACAAAGTATTTAATTAAAACAAAGAAGATTGGTCCCACCAAGTTGAACAGTTTTTCTACAGTAACCTAATTTTTAACAGGAAGTACAACACCCCAGGTTCTAAAGTCGTCCAGCGATTCGGTTGTTACAATTGACAAAAATTTGCGGTGATCCTGCCGACTGATTTGGAGGATTATTTTTCATCTCTGAAGGATATCAGCTTGTCGCTAGTCATCAGGAGCTGGTTACAGTTATGGGTTTCAGCTGAACGAGGGCCTGCGCGAGAGGATGACTCGCGGCTTGTCAGTTCGATTTATGATTCTCCAGTGTACTCTCTGGTAAACAGAGGGACATGCGGAGAAATGGTGCCCCAAAAGTGGGTCATTCGGGTTACGGTAAAAAATTTAGAAATACCAAGTTTTCTAAGGAGAGGCAAATGTTCCTACTAAAGGCTATGATAAAACCTTTCTGAAACCTAAACAGTAGTACAATTTATAATTACATGAAGCAGCTAGGTCTCGTTGTAGTAGTTATTTGAGTTTCAGAACATAGGTTTCTAAAATGTACATATGTCTTTTCTGTATTGTTCATAAGGTAGATATCATCAGAGTCATGTTTTTACACGCTTTATATAAGCTTTGCCTGTATCTAAGTTTCCACGTAGATTTCACCAAGTTGAAGACATCGGCAGAACTAAATAATTTGCAAATGTATTAGGTACCTATGACAATACAAGACTAAAAGTAAGAATGATAATAAAACAGCATCCTTTAATAGTAAATCCAACTAAAAGTAGAAAGCAATAATTAAAACTAAAGTACTACGTAGAATAAGTTTTGGGTTTCTCAAAAACTCCGCTATTTACGAATCGATTGCAAAAAATATTTTATATTTGGGTATACTTCCCGTTTGGTCCCATGCAAAATTTGAAGAAGAAATGCCACACAAGGGTGGAAATTTAAGGAATGATGTATGTTTAAGTCAGTGATACTTTTAAGTTGCTTATATAATACCTCTACTTATATAAATAGATACATTTGAAGTCAATGCTTTTACGATTTTTTACACCAAAATAATATTTTCTACTTTAAGTTGGCTTTACTTAGGCTGTTTTAATTTAAAAAACTAAGATATATTAGCAGATTAAAAAAAATGGCTAAGAAATAAAGATTTCTCCAAACAACAAAGTTCCGCGTAATAATTTGGTCTTTGGATAAGCTGTATAAAAATATACATTGTTTTTTTTTTATTTATGATGAAATAGGAAAATGCACAAATTTAAACACAAATAAAAATCCTGAGCAAGAAGTTACTTATCAAATAATATTTGTTTTAGGATAACAGTTATTTTATACTACTAAAATCGCGAATAAGCATGCCGTATGATAGTGTACTGTTATCGTAGCATATGTACGCTGACTGCTTTTTCTAAAATAATTGCTATTGTTTTTTATAAACAAAGAACTACTCGACGAGTGCCGAATTTTTATTTCTGTGTCCACAAATTATTATTATTGCGTCGATTAGTAATAGGACTGCTGATATTAAATTTTACTGTATATATGAAGACTATCAAATCTTCTATGTGACTGCTGTGCTGAGGTCTCGGGTTCGACTCCCGGGTCGGATCAAATGTTTGTATGATCTGCAAATATTTGTTTCGAAGTTTGGGTATTTGCTATGTATTATATGTGTATTTACAAAGAAAAGTATATAAGTATTCTTTTAGTCAATTTAGCTTTCATAGTAAAGGCTCTGCTTAGTTTGAAACTAGATGGCGTTGTGTGTTAGATGTCTAGCGATATTATTATTACATTATTAAACCTTTATACTTTCTTGTAAGGATTAACTAACATTGTTATACAAACTGCTTATAGCTTGACTGGATATTTTCAGTCTCAATGTGTAATTCATGTCATAAATATCTAAAATAGAGTTAACATGTTATTCTTGTAAAGCGATTGCTCGTAGATGTAGTAATGTAACTTATTTGTTTATTCTTAAGGTGTTCTGTATGGTTTATGAGGAAATAAAACGAAGTAGTGCGAGTTAAACTTTATTTAATTGAATGTTCCTTCATAAATTAAACAAACTAAGCATCGAACATTGTCTATTATCTTAACGGGTGCAGCGAGTTACAACTCATTTATCCATGTGTCATTTTCTATCTCATACGCACCTCTTAGTACGGCGATATTTGACGTACCTAAGTACGACCGTGCGAATCATTAGGCAGGTAAGTATTTAATATAATAAGCAAACAAACATTTTTTCCAATTTGCGAGGTGCTTCAAAACATAGCGCTTTCGATATATGTATTTCGAAACTGTTTGACTGTCAATATCTTCTGAAATCATACGTGAGCAAGCATCAACAATAAAAAACCCATAATATCGTGTCACTCTGGTCAAAAACCTCGTCTACAGGCTTTGAATGTATCGATATGTCGATCGATCAGCCAGAGGCCGTCAATTATTCTAGTTGTTGTTAAATAAAAGTCTTTAACGATTGCAGCGATAAATATAAAGTGACCTTTTCTATATAGGAAATTTAATTCCTTCATTTCATTCATCGTTCCTAGGAAACGCTTATTCTACCTGATTAGCAAATATAACCGAACCGAACGAACCCTCGGGAGAAGGTTAGTGAAGAAACTGACGAGCCCTACCTATACAAATGTGAGGCAACTGACGCGAGTGACACATTTTATATAGGTATTACTATTTCTTATTAAATTTGAATGTTTTTTTTACTAGGCAGTAATTGACTCTCAACCTGTCTAACGGCCAGATGCTTTACTAGTGTCAGCAAACTTTATCAATTAAAATTTATCATTGCTTGTAATATTGTGCAAATTTTATTCAATAACACCTACATTTGGTAACTTACTATAACGGATTTAAAGTTTATATAGCAGTAGCAGCTTATACAATGTATGTTCGATAGTTTTAACTTTGGTGTTTACATTATTAATCTAAAATATTACAAATAGTTAACCAAAAAAAAAAAACAACGAAACCAAATGTCTTTTAACTCACTCAGAATAGGGTTTCATTTCAACGAAATTGTTATATTTAATCAACTGTTGATTTGCCTGACTACACAATAGTTTGATCTTGGACAAATTTATTAGTCTTACATATTATTTATTACAGAAAATATCGTAGGTACATAATTTTTGCTATTATTATGTTATGATGCTATGTGTAACGTTAATATACATAAATAAATTACGATCAAAATAGTTTTGTTAATTTATTGAACAGTCGTTATTTTTTTATTATTTTATCACTGCATGTATCACAAGAGCACAGTTTAAAATACAAACCATATATCCAAAAAAAAAACTTTAAAAAATAAATTTCGTTATTTTCCTTCACCGCAAGAATATAATACTGTTAAAAAGCACAGGAAAGTATAAGAAATATAATAATTATAAATTTTATTGCTTCGTTTTATAGAAATGCTTTTATGGAACAAAATATTGCTTTAAAAATAACATAAACAATTATTATTTATAATCTCGAATACATCACATAGAATACATAGATAATGTAATACTTATTACTAAAAATATGAGGTGCTATATTTGGGGGTTAAGTATAGTATCTAATATAACATGACATCACGACGCCGTCGAATTTTGTGTACAACCCATTGGATTAAATAGTTATTAAACATGTTAAATCAAGCCAACAACAATTTACATATTGATATCAATATATACTTATGCATATAATAAATAATATTTATTATGCGTCAACAAGTTATATGCACTCGTATCACAAGCTAAATCGTTTTAAAAGAGCTAAATTGTTATCTAGTGAAGGCTTCGACGTCATCAGTAGTCGGATTCATAAGTTAGCATCGAGTTAGTTATTGCACTTTACACATACTAAATACACCACATCATACAATAATGTTACACTAACGTATCTCCTAACGCGACATAGGCCAGCCACTGCCGCTAGCCGGTGAGACTGACAGCGAGTAAATAAATTATATATTTATCTAGGACATATTTTATTTAAATTAAAAATAGCGAATATTTCACACTAGAAATAACTAAAGATTCATTAACAGTTTAAATACATTATAAGATACAACAACGCCTACTCAGTGACTAGTCTAACGGCGTATAATTATCATCATATTCGTAACATTTGAATAGCAACAACGATAAATAGGTACATCACAAGGGAGCGGCGTAATAAGGCTAGACGCGGCGCGCCGGACGATTATGCTCTGATCACTGCGTCCCGCCCACCTATAATGAAGTACACATCAGTCATGCTGCTCACGACAATATTAAAAGTTTGCCCAAATGACGCGCTTGCTACGTAATTAACAATTTTACATGAATTTAATTATAGTTACAGACTACAATAGTTATAGGGGTAACGTTTCTTGCAATCGAACTAGGCGAGTATCGTATAATGCGTCATGTGAACAAACTTAGAGTGAATTAGTATCCTTACCGCAAAGTGAAAGTTGGCGAGAACTAATATTGTGATTGATGAGGCAGCGGCGAATCCCTTTCGGGTAGCTTGCGCACTTTCATGGTACCGTCTGCTCCACACGAGAACAGCCGACCGGAGTTGTCTGTAAACAAAGAAGTTTAATGTATATATAAACATAGTAAACACAAGTAATATCCGCGCTTATCAAATTAATGAATAATCATAAATTAATTACGTTATAATGAAGAATAAAATGATTTAGCAATTGCTGTTGTGATGATTTGCAACTGCTCATCATTCGAATTCAATTAAAACCTACACCGTGAGCTTTAACGGATAAAGTAGCAACTGAGCAATGGCAGCTAAAGGACAGGACTACTCTAATGATAGACAAATGAACGTTACTTATTTGTAAAACGTCAAGATTTGCATAATTCACTTTAGTGTCTATTAGGATCAGGTGGAGTTCTTTGAGATATATTTAACTATTTGTGACGCTGGATCGCCCAATGTAGTAGCTACATTGTCAATAAGCACTTAAGTGATTTGTAAATAAATGGCTGGTGAAACTGTTATGACATACCAATATGTATTTGCGTGACACCCTGACCGATGTGCTTGAAGAATGAACTTCTGGCGTGCTCGCCCGCAAAAGTATACAGCAACTGATGCGTAGTTAAAGAAAACACCTGTGAAATTGAAAACGTTGTATAAAATCTAAAGAATATCTTTGAGGCATGAGTATTTTCATCGTTATCCGTTCTTACCCACCCTTTCGGTATAATTCAAATTTTTGTCATTGCTTAATCCAAAATTACCCATCAACAGCCTTTACTAGTCCACTGCTGGACATAGGCCTCTCCTTAGAAAGGAGGTTTTGGCCTACTATACCACGCTGGCCAGACGTGTTGGTATAGGGTTTGTGTCAAGTTTTCCTTCTCTTTGCAGTGCTGTTGTGCTGCGTAGTTTGCTCCCTTAGTCGCTTCTTACGACACCCACGGGATGAATAGGGGTGGTGACACTCTGTATTCTTAATCCGTCACCACACGGCTAAAATTACCCAGTCGATAGCAATAATAGGAAGCGAGTGTATTAAGTCGGACATTTTCGTCCACAAGGTCCTCCGTATCTGCCTCTCTTTGGATACATAGGCATGGTCGTATTAGTTACATTTACATAGATAATTTTTATTTTAAATTAACTGCAAGTTTGATTTTCGGATACCTGAGGTATCGACTGGGCTGCACACATTGTAGACATGGTGTATTTAATAATATTATGACGTTTAAGTTCAGATACATTTTTAATTTGTAGCACAAATTAAATATTCATAAAAATATTCAGTAAAAAAAAACATAAGTTAAATATACATGCAGTGTTACATTAAAATATGTAATACTGCTTATAATATATTTAATGCCACACTATAATATGTAGTGACCTTGATGTCGCCGTCGGCGGCTCCGATGGCGTAGTAGTCCTCCCTGGGGGAGAGCGCGACACACTTGATGGGCGCGTGGTGCGCGTGCAGGCGGTGGCGCACGGCGCGCGCGCGCAGGTCCCACACCAGCACGTCGCCACGCCGCCCGCACGACACCAGCGCGCCGCTCGACCCCGCCCACGCCACGCACGCCGCGCCGCCCTCGTGGCACGTCCACGCTGCAGCATTCAGTATGTCACATTTTTACAAAAAAACCTTAATAGCAATTTTTACTTCGAGCGCGGTGTACATGAAAGGCTTTGTTATTATTCGGTTAAAAACTTTACTTCAAACTTCAAAACTTGAACTTTTCAGTGTGTTTAGAGTAAAACGTGTACTATGATTAACACATAATGTTCCAAAATTTCTCAGTCTTTTTGCGTAATAACTCTGTTAAATGTATATTACCAGCTTAGGTTAAATCGCAGATTATCTTTTTTAACAAACTGGTAAACTTGGTAAACTGACAACCATGAAAGATATTGCGAACTACGTGTAGTCATTTTGCCAAGTTACACATCAACCACCTTGTTGTAATGGTTCTATAGATGAATATATGAATTAATAATTATATTAATCTATAAAACCTACTCTAAATTAAATGTAATATTTGAACAAATACTCACAAACCACTAAAGCTTTCTTGATGGGCATCAGTGTGTCCCATATAGCTACGTTTTTACTCTCGGAGCTGTGGCCAGCTGAAAAAGAAAAAAAATAACCAGATTACACTAATAACACAAAAATCATTCCAAACAATGGGTTAAATAAGATATAGTGTACCTGTGGCAACTAAACTGCAAGAACCGAGAAATACGAAATCGCTAATGCCTTTACTGTGACACTGATGAGTCTGTAACAAACAATGAGGTAATGTTAATGTTGTTTCATGCGCGTGATCGAACTATGCGAAAAGAACTTTCGTAATATATTTAAAAAAATATTTTATTGTTGTTTACCACACATATTCAACTTCAACAACAAAAAATAATATACGCCTGGTGGCAAAGGTGTACCTTTGCCACCAGGCGTATATTATTTTGCTATAAATAACCTGATAGAAAAAAATAATATTTGTAATTCCTACACAAACTCACAAAGAACGGTCTAGGCGAAGCGTGGGAATGCCCAGGCTGGTTCGGTACTGGATGCAACTGCCACATCGCTAGGTTTCCATCAGCATCAGATGCAGCAAACTTGTTGCCATAGTCAGAGAAGCGGACGCGGGTCACTTTAGCGAAGGCACCAGGCGCGCGAGGAGACCATACGCATGAAGGGAGACCCCACTCCCATAGCTGAACAGAACCGTCCGCACCGCCCGTGAGGTCTGTAAAAGGAAAAATTAAAAATATCTTTCCAGCGTTTCGGGACAAAAACAGAAAAAGAAGAGGATTGCCTTTGTGTTAACTTGAGAAGGTTAAAAGATGTTATTTCCGATGTTTGATGACAAATCTATATATACGTCATAAATATAAAATAATTGGTTGTATAGAATACTTGGAAGCACTCTGTATAGATACTGTGGTGGTGCTACAGATTTAGTTCTAAATAGGTTGTTTATGTAAACTAAACATTTAGAATTAAAAAAACTCATAAACCTTCAAATAAATTATGATACCATAATAACTTTTCACTTCACGTTCCATGATATGCATTTACTCAGCTGTCACTTTAACCCGATCGAAACATGTGACAAATTAAAAAATATGTTAAACCTATTACATGATCGTACTAATTTCCTCCCATATATCTACGATGATACCATTTTAAAGAATGTTAACATTTGACAGTTTTGATTTGCTATGTCTTTCATATATATTGATATCTGCCAGGCAACCACTAGACGAAGATACAGTTATTGAAGATATAAACAGACCGGAATGCAATTCATGACCAATTTATTTGTTTACACTACAGATAGATTCATTGCTAAGGTCTTAAATACTATAAACTTACATAACGGTTGTGAGGGATGGGCCGCCATTCTCTTAATGTTGTCGATTTTGTGTTTCAGCACCTAAAGAGACACTTAACATTAGAGCATTATATTTTCTACTCTAGAAAATCCACCTACAATCCATGTTAATTTCATTAGATATATTAAACATCAAACATACAGTTCATGCTTGCCATTAATTATAAAGAAAAATGCAAAAATATAACCAAACATAAAGTAGCAATAAAATCACGGAATAAAACAAAAGCCAATTAACACCGGTCAGGTGATACATATGTTTCAATTCACCTACGGAGCTACATCACAAAAAATACGTGACCTAATCGAAATAAAATTCACTGACGTGTAGAGCCACTGAAAAATTAAAAATGATAACAAATACGATGGAAAAATTTAAAAAAAAACATGTGAACGGTCTAGCGAAAACAACTATCGCAGCACGAAAAAAAAAATTGTGATGACGAGAGAAGAATAGACTAATTCGAGTAACTAAATGAAACATCGAGTTTTAACTAAAACGAAGTGAGTGCGGACCATCGGTTAAAGGACGTGGTGTCATCATTGACAGGGGATGGTCTGGGGGTTCACTGACCGGTTTCATGAGAAGCTTCGAACGGTGCAGCACCAGACGACAGTATTTCGGGTCGTGGCAACCCGGGAACTGTAGGCCCTTCACCTGCGACCAACACTCTGTTATACCGTATATCTATGTGCTAACGTGAACATTTTGAATTATATCAAACGAACCTACTATTTATTAGGACAATTTTTGATTATAACCTTCATAAAGGGCTCTATGTTACCGGTATCTGTATTCTTCTAATAATATAAAGGATATTGTACATGCATGTATGTATGTAGAACCCATAGCACATGTTTAATGACTCTCACTGTCTCTCTTAAGTATATTTTAGAAACGTCAACGTCTATTAGAGAGTCTAAAAGGAAGCGGGAGCCAAGCCTGAGGCGACACAAACAATAGTACAGATACATTTTTGTACGAACACAACCACACCACGTTTTAAATTCCATTATGTTAATAACAAAACTGAATGAATAAATGCATTTTATTTAAAAGAGTAAATGACGGACACCGTAAAGTCTTGAAAAAACTTATTTCGAAATATGCATTCGGTTTCTGGCCTTTTCTGTTACAATAAGTCGCAAAAGTTGCATTGTTCTCAAATGATGCATGTTTGTATACAACGAACACCTCTTGATGCGTACAGCATTTAGTAATTGGGGCGAAACACTTATCCCGTTTACTTTCGAACTTTCAATTTTAATGCTAGCTAAGGATAAAATCTTTGAAAACCGAACTCTCTCAGCAGATTTTTTGGCTAGACATGACAAGTATATGTTAATTGTGCAATCTTTAATAATTAGGTTCGCTATAAATGTTCGGATGCAATTAAAGTAATTCATTGACGAACGAATGGTATGCAAAACGAAAGTTTACAATACCTCAAATTTATAAATAGTTGGTATGGCTATCATTATAGTAGTACATGGCTAGTATTATAATAGACAGTAGGTACATTTATTCATTCAGCATGTTCAGTGCTGGAGGTATTACGTGAACCTACATTAACAATATACGCTTCATATCCTGTCATGACCGTACTGCCTCGGCGCTCCAGCTGTGAACGTTTTTGTTTCTTTGTTAGCTTACTACATATTTTATTATACAATTTTGTAAAATGTAAGTAGTTTTACCCCCTGTTTCTCAGCATATTTATATATATATCACAATAGTAGACAATAGTAAATAGTAAGTAAATAAAAAATATGATTTTACATTTGTTCTAAAAGCAATATTTAGTGAAGCGTTTTTGAACGCACGATGGATCACTAGAAAATAACAAAGTACTCACGGGACCTAGAAGAAACTAACGTTCCAAGTAAGGTCAGGTTAGACTTGTATTATAATAATAAAAATATTCATATATGTATCATTTTATGTAGGTTCATCAAACACAGGTGTCATATAATACTAGAGTTAGTTAGAGTTGTTAAAAGTAAGTAGATTAGTCTGTTAATGCATCAAATTAATATGTATTTAGCATGAAAGTCACTGAAAATATTCAAAATTTGAATAATATTTGAGTTATAAAATATTATTTATTTATATATTAATACTCAAGGATTGTAATATTTAGATGCTTAATCACAGTATTCAGTGAATTTCATTGCCAAAGTACTTTTGTCACCAGTTAATTAATTTTACTTGCAGAATATTCATGCAAAATACCTCACATAATAAAAGTGATCAATTGGTGTCTTATATCATTGCAATATATTTATCTACAAATATATGAAAATCACATCAGCTCAATTTTCGTAACCAAAAGAAATTGAACATTTTAAAAGTCCGTCCGTCCGAAAGGGGGCTCTCGTTTGGACGACGGACTACTAGGCGAATATAATACCGCTGTTTTATGTACATAAAAGAAAAAATTGGTGGTGTAATCCTTTTTTTTCAAATATTATTATTTATTTTTTATATAACACCAATACAGTTATAGTCCATTTAATCTAAAAGGTACCGTTTGACGTTTCATACTTTCCAAGACGAGACAACTTTGTGTAGGTGTGTTGTAGTAACAATTTCAACAACCTTTACCGTAAAACTATGGAATCATGAAGCTTTTTTATTTTACCACAAGATATACAATTCTTAATGACTAAATTTAAATATTTGAAACAAAGCAAAATAACCAATTTATACACAATAGATGGATTTTTTTCAAACTTCGTTACAAAGTCACGTAGTTAGGGTCTTTACCGTAGTGTTGCGGCACTCCAGATTCACTTGAATACAAATAATCGTTAAAATGTACGAAAAATCGAATTTATTAATAATGAGTAATTTTCAATCCAGGCGTCTTAAAGTGTTCAATCTGTCAGAACTGAAGAACTGTCAAAAGGTACCTCTTAGATTAGATGGACTATAGTCACATTTGTATGATATTTGTTTAACGCATGTTTGCTAATTATAAGATGTTTAATGTAACCCTTTCCAGACTTAATCTGTGGTATTAAATGAATTTCAATTTGGCAGCCACTGAAAATGTGAAACTGATGTGAAGTTCATATATAGCCTTCATAATAAGCAATCATATTTAAAGATTATGATTTGATCATCGTTGTATTCATCACGTACACTGTTCTGGATCGATCATTTAATGATGATATGACTTTAGTGATACTTACCACGCTAGCGCCGCGTCCAGTTTGACTGGCCATGCCTACTGGCACTTGAGGCGCGTTTGGATTTAGTGGCGAGCTGTTTCCAGTGCCTGGCACTGAACCGCTGTTCGGTCTAAAATGACAAATGTCTTCTATAAATAGTACGTTTTATTAATTCAAAAATATAGAATTTAAATACAACTTTTTTTAAAGAGGAATGGAGACGAGGAGGGACTTCGAAACGCGTGACTAATTTTGTGAGTATTTATAGAGAAAGGGTTAAAAGTTTAGTGAATATTTATAGGATAAACATTGCATTTTGTTTAACAGCATTTTGAATGTGCTAACAGCTGAGGGTTAAAATAATAAACGATTCCTTTAATGAACTTCTGGTGAAATATGCGTAAGTACTTGTCGTGGTGTTGTATAAGTAAGAAGCCGGTGTCGGGTAGTGCGGCGGGGTCAGCGGCGAGCGCCAACAAGTCAAGTTCACACTCGTCCTCCGCCCACCACGCGCCCGCCCGCAGCAGGAGCGACACATCCATCTCTTGGACTTCACGCGCTGTGGCTACTGCTAGTAGACAACCACCGACCTATTAAAATTATACTTAGTCATTATGACTAGTCTATTTAGTCATTATTACATAGCTGTCTTGTTCCTCCTGGAAATAACTGAAATTACTATTTGTTGAATTGTTCTTTTTTTTCATCGAGATGTTGCTATGTTGTACGCCTGTTACTGTGCATTCGTAACTTATAGTTTGTAATTTTTAAATTATATTAATTTGTAAATTATAGTTTATAATTAATGTTTTTGGCGCTATTGTGTATAGTTTACCTGCACATATATTTATTAAATTATTACGGATTAAGCGCTGACATTCTGCCCCGACTACAATAATTAAGTCCCACTTTGAGAACCAAGGGGTTTCGCATACACGGATCGGTTGGGACGGTCTAAACTCAAGCAGATTTTTTACCGCCTTAATTGTTAAATAAATCGTTACAATACCAAACCATTAATGCGGGCAATGCTGAGAATAAGCAGTTTTTTTTACAAAATAATAATCATAGATAATCGCAGTGTAGCAAGTGCCGTGTCGTGCACGAATACGAGTTAGCGATTAATTACGGCTAAAAGACGCCTAATAAATCTCGATTTTTACATCTCATAGTGAACAGATCTGAAGAGTAGTAGTAGAGTGGTTATACGTTAGAAGATTACCTTGTTGAGGCAGAAGGCAGCTATTGAGTCCTGCTCCTTGTGTATAATTCGAACAGGGTTGTGCAGTTCATTGTCACGGTCCCTATGCTGCTGCGGTATAAATCCGGGACGGGTTTCTCCTGCCAATGTTTCAGCGGTCACTGATTGCGTTCGACGGCGAGAGAATACCGCACGGATGAACAGGTCCTGAATAAATAAAAAAACATGTGGACTGAAACATGTAATGATGAGGTTTAATTTTTCATCACTGTGTGTTGAGATTTAATTTTTAAAATCCAAACCTCGCGACGGCGCTTTCTATTACAATAAAACTTTATGACTACGAAGAGTAGTTTCTCTAGATTTTTCTTTACAAAATAAATAAATAAAAATACCTGTACAGGCTCTTGTCGAACGAGGAAGTTCCATAGCCTTCGTGCTGGAGCCGTACTAAACAAGACTGCATTGAATGGTGTATTATGCTTTTCAATTAAACATCTGAAAACAAAAATACATAGCAATAAATCAAAGAATTTGGCAAGACTTACATTTTTTTTAAATTATTTTATTCGTATTGTTCAAGTGTGAGCGAACCGTATGAGCATATAAATTACTAGTTAGATTTATTTTCATTCTGAATTTAAATTTTATTGTCAAGTATATCATTCTTCAATCAATCACACCTTTAGAAAATTGTGGTAATTAACAATATCAAAGTTTCAAAAAGGTTTTTCGTACAAATTATGTGTTTATGTATGTTTACAGGAATTAACGTGATCATGTTGTAGGTGTTTCATACCTTTAAATTGCTTGATTTTTGTAACTTATCATGCTGTACTAATATACTACTGTACTAATGTATTTATGAATGCATTTTATCAGGGTATATAAATAATAAATCGCTTTATAATGAAATATTTCCAAACACATTTCACAACTCTGGGTAAAAATAATATGATGTCAAATATTATCTCAATACATGACTACACTACATGTATATTCAATCTCATTCCCTCTCGACTAGGCAGATGAAATCACCAAGTATTAGCATATCTAATTCACGGAGCTATTTATTGGATCAACATACCTGTACTTATTAATAGGAGGTCCAGAGGTTTGTTGGTCAGGGAAACAACCAGGGATGTAGTCCGGTGGAGGCGCCCTCGATTCCAGGGTCTCAGTCAGTTGCTGCTGCCACTGATCTACGCGTCTTAAGGCACCGTGCACCATTGGACTAGTTGTAGCCAATTCTGGACGAAAAAAAGCTATCAGTATTATACTTAAAATATTGTGTTTTAAAGATGCATAAAGATATATTGCCGTGTCTTAGTCTATTGCTGCTCCCTCAACAGCCAGCCGCAATAACATCGCAACAACAGCAGTAAAACACTATAATACTGGGCTAAACTATGATATTGTGGACAGATAGTCAACTAAAGCCATGCCATATACTTCTAAAATATTATTTAATACTCACCAGACATTTCAATACCACAGAGCTGTAAGAAGTTTTGTAGTTTTTGTTGTGCAAGACGTAAAACTGCGATGCGCATCACAAGCCATGAGTAGGAATCCGGATCTGAATGTTCATTGTTTGAACCTTTGCGCCGCTTTTCAGTCCTTACATTATACACACATTACATTATTTATTAATCTCACTACTATAAGATCGACTAAATGGAATGTTCAGAAATATTCAATGTAGTTGTAACAATAAAGCAATATATTTAAAACTAACATCGTTGGTTATTCTTTACAATCTATATAATAAAATAGATAATAAAATATGACAACATTCAAATCCTCAGCAAATAACTGATATTAACTTTTAGAGAATGTATTAATTGTATAAAATATTTGGTAATTTCTTGTCTTTTAAATGCTGAATATGCGCGTGTTTAGTGAAACTCACTGTTCGTTCTACCACGAAATTAGCTAAGTAAGGAAGTAAAATAATCGTGCTATGACACATTAAATAATACATACTTGGTAGTACTCGTATCAAAAATATCGTCATCGTCGGCTTCACTACCGCTGTCATCGATATCTTCAGCACCAGATTCTGCTGAATCGTAGTCGTAGTTTTCAGGGTCTTGTTCAGCAGTGGGCTAAAGTAAAACGATTCTATGTATTCAGGTCTATGCACTAATTTATGTAAACTAACATTTGACATACTTGCCATAGGTTAAGAAATAACATATAAAATTAAACTGCCCAGTTTAAAATGGTAATGGTAATGTACTTGTTATCGTACCCCACAGTGTAAAATAAGAGCCTTGGTGAACAGTTATAGAAACCTACAGAAGGCTAGTGTCCTACAAGTGTCACTCACACCTTGCCAATCTTGTTTTCTTCGTAATCAAATATTGTAAATCTTTTTGTAAATAAAGGATTATTATTATTTTTGCTAATACATTGACTGGCCTAAGCCAATTAAACGGAGCAAGTGGTGTCTACATTATGTTGGTGTATTGTCATCTAGCGGCATGAATTTTCTAAAGATTCTACATGTGTTTAATATGACAGATTATTATTATTATTGTATTGAACTCTGACTACTCTAATCTTAGAAGGTATATAATAGAAAAGGCGCATTGTAGTAGATACCGGAGGTACTATTTTTTTTTTAAATTTATGCATTCTTTATTTGTTTTATTGTAAAATAATCTTTACTGATATTACAGATGCCAAAGTGAGTTTGTTTGCTTATTGCAGAAAGTGAAAACAGCTACCTTTCCATCCCTAAAAAGAAGAAGTACTGTTCCCAATCGATAGTCATTATCCCAAAAAAGAGTACTGTTGTCAGGTGATAGTCAATTGTTTGTCAAAATCAACATTGACGTGAACAAAGCTGCAAGATAAAGTCAGCGTTGTAAAATATACTAGATTAAATGTACATACCTTAGTGAGCAAATATGTGAGTATGCTGCAATGAGGCGGCACGAACTGTTCCCTATACGTAGGACGACCCTCTTGTATGTTTTTATGTGGCGCTGTGGGGCCGAGCCCCAATAGTCTCATGTTTAATAGTGCTCGCTTCTCTCGCAGGGAAGACCACACTGACGTGCCTTCCGTTCGTTCCACTAATTTGGGCTGGAAACAAAATATACGAGATAGCGGTTTACTATTAGCCTTTTAGTCCAATTACATAATGGCGTTTATGATTCTCAATTTTAATATGCTGTTCAAATAGTATGTAACTGAAACAGATTACGCGACGTGTTTTCAGTTTACATATTATTAATGTGACTATAGGCATCTAAGTTCATCTTAAAACCATTGTATAGATAGTTCAACTCAGATGTGCGCGCGGCCCTATGTGTGGGCAAACCTTGTACATATACAGTGACTTTGTGTGCGTGACAAGAGGGTACAGTCGTACAAATACAAATATAGTTATTTACGGGTTATATACTGTAATAATGTAATGTTTATTTATTGAACATTATTCTGAATCGCTACTTGAAAAATCAAATGATGAATTTTCGGATTCGCTGCTCTCACCAAGGTTAATTATGAATTCTGACTCCATGTCAAAATGTCTATAGTATTCTTCTTCTTTGTTTTGTACATGTCGACAAGTATTACCCCACATCCCTTCATCAATTTGACTTAAACGTTCATTTATGAGTTTCATTATTTCCGTCACATTTTGGTCGACATTATGCGAAGCAATATAATTCTTTAAAATTCCCCACACATTTTCTATGGGGTTTAGTTCAGGATGATATAGTGGCAGTCGAAGAATTTTTATGCCATATGGCTGAAGTATGTCGTCAATCTTGTAACAGATATATTTTTCTTTATTTTTTTTAATCAAATCATACAGTTCAATTTTTTTTCATATCTTGATTAAAAGCTATATTTTTTTCTGTCAGCCATCTCTGCATTTCTATTTTTTTGGAATTAGAATTTGGGGCTCTGTCATTTTGAACGTTATGGTATGAGGCATTATCAAGCACAACCACAGAGTTAGGTGGAAGATTCGGTACTAGACGTTCTTTTAGCCACTTTTCATAGTTTTCTGCGTTCATGTTAGAGTGGTAATCACCAGAAACACTATTTGCTTTGTATGTCAATAGTGCGTTAGGTACAACACCTTGTTCTGAACCAGCATGCACAATGATAATTCTTTGTCCTTTCGACAGGTTTCTCTTTAAAGGTGGTCCATCTTTATTACCCCATCCTTTGTTTTGCACATGATTAGTTAAGATGTATCTCTCATCTGCATATACGATACACCGATTTTCTTGACGGTATCTGAGTAATTTTTTTAGGTAGGAAAATCGTAGTTTTTGGATGTCATGCCGCTCTATAGTAACACGTCTGTTATCCACAGTTTTTCGCCATTTGTATACCAACTTTCACAAAGCTGTACGCAGAGTCGAAATACTTCCATCATAGTTAAGTTTATCTTGAAATATTCTTTTCAACTTTAGCAAGGTAGGTAACTCGCGATGTTCTAAATGGTAATTTTGAAAAGTGGAACGTATAACATCAACGTTAAAGTTGTCTAATTCTAACTTTTTAAACGTTTTTTACGGTCTTTATGCGGAGATTTAAATTTAGAGTCAGATTCTTTTCCTTCAGCCAATATATTAGTAATTGGTCTCTCTGATACCCCCACTGCCATTGCTGTTCTTTTACGTACGCTATTTAAATGTTCACTTAGTTTCGATATTAAAATTGGACTTGCACTGCAAACTGGATCACTTACTAGTTCCAATATATCTCTCGCATCTATTTTCAGAAATTCGTATACCTTAGCAATGGTTTCTCGAGTCTAAAACAATAATACGTAAACGTCAACAAGGATATATTTTTTCGTATATAGAATCATAATAAATATTAATTACATCTAAATTTAAAAAATATTTACCTGACTCCTTAAACATTTTCTCCGTGAAGAACTAGACATTTTCGTAAACGACTGTACCTTTAAGAAAAAGCGATAAGAACACGTCTTGCTCGGACGACGACTGCCGCGTCACTGCCACACGAATGAAAGTTATATATTTACAAGCCCACGCACACATAGGGCCGCGCGCACAACTGAGTTGAACTATCTATAAATATAACCATTGTATACTCACGACACATTATTGTACAGTATCCTTAACCTAACTTTCTACCGCTTTTCAGAAATAGGCTTTTGAAATTTATAAAAATATTGTTATTTATAAAGGTAACAGAAAAGTATATTCTCAAAATGATTTAACCTTACAAGGAACCGTGTGTTGTGACGACTGACCTGCGGAGGCGCCGGTGCTGTTGTCAACAGCCTTTTGACTCCTCCTCCGAATAACCTAGAGTGATCGGTGTTCTGTGGCGAGTGCGCAGAAAGCCTATACAGCAAATGAGCATCTCTTGCAGCCGTTGCCCAGCCCAGTAGAGCCAAGAACACCGCACAGAAAGCTTCCGCTAATAAGACTGCTAGACGTGGCGAGTCTTCTTCTTCTGCAGCACGTAAAGCGAGACCGCGAAGAGCTGATACGCCTATGAATGTATAAAATAATTACAGTTAAATTCGATAAAAAAAGTATTTTTATTTTATACCTATAATGAAACCCATTTCCTTCCTAACCAATAATCTGTTAACCTGCAGTGCATAAATTAATTAATATGTAAACATTACTTATGTAATGTTCTTTTGAAATAAAACCTTTACATAATGGTTTATCAACGGAAAATATTAATTGGGTTTAATTAAAACCTATATATGATGAATGATAAGTTGGTTTGTGTGCACTTCAAAAACTCAAAAAGTTCTACATCAATTGAAATCATATTTTGACACGATATACAAACCTCTTTAAAGATTGTTTTTACCTATTTTTATTCCTCATTTTAATGTGCCACAGCGAAGCTTGGCAGTACAATATAAATTAGAAATTCAATTCTACATAATTATAGAATTAAAGCTTACACGAGCTTTAATAAAGTTTCATAATGTTATTTGCAAACTTAAATAATGTTTACGTATACGTTACGTTATATGAATACATCACTGCAACAACCGAGCAGTAGTATTATTTTAATATACAAGTACTTCTTCGTCTTACCTGGCCATTTATTCGGTGGGGTAGTCACAGTGAGCTCCTCAGTCGAAAAACGTCTCTGTCGTACTAATATTTGACTAGTTGCGGGGGTTTCAGCTATAATACTACAAAAAAGAGAGACTATCAAATGTTGTTCGTAGTTATTGAATGTAAGCTTCGTTACTATTTTTACTTATATTTACTTTTAATAATAATCGCTCAATTTTAATTTGATAACAAAAGTTTTTTAACTATTAATCTTTTTTTAAGCGACTAGTTTGATCTTTAGTTTGCTGTAACTAAAATAGTTTCATTACGCAAATAGCTTTATTTATACGCAATTTAACATTACATTTTTTAAACTACTAAAACGTCCAGTCCCAATTTTGACCGGTAGAGGAACGGAAGGTCGATATAATGAGGTCGAGGTCAGCATATATTGGTCAAAAATGTAAAACGATCGATCTTCCGATCTACTATATGTATGGAATTAACTAAGAGTCGTAGTACACTAACCCATCATGATGATGACTCTGCTTCACGCCGAACGTGTCGGAATCACACAAGCTCTGATAAATGCAGGCCGATAGCGCCACAGCCAACTCTCGTAACGTGTGTAGTATTCTAGTAGCCGACCCACCAGGAATACCCAGCTCTCCGACAGTCCCCAACATATCGTGAGCTACAGACTGCGAAAGTAAAGTTTATCAAACCCTCTTTATGTAGATTTGAGTTTCCAAACAAACTCGTGACTCGATTTGCGGATGCAGTAGTCACCTTCATTTTCTATTGGTGACGGAGTCTAAAATCCCCTTTGATAAACGCTCGGGACCATTTACTAGTTTGCCCCTACATCTTAAAAAAATACCCGATGACAACTAGTCATAGTATTTTGTGCATTATACTCTATTATTTTACTATAATTTTGACAGTTCGATTAGTAGTCAACTAATGGTGTCCTAAAACGCAGCTTACTCAAAAAAATATATTAATTGCTACTTTGCATTATTCCCGAAAAAGCTTTTATCTTTTAAAAAAAACATCTAACATAACCTTCGATCAATAATAGTACTAGATTCCCGATAAGCGCTTCAAAAACGGCCCGAAAAATAAGAGCAATAAAGTGTTTGTGCTCTTATTTTAAATTAGTACGGTCCAATCATAGCCAACAATAGGACGTCAAAATGCCGCAGTGCGCGTTCAAAAACTGTGTAAATAACCACCGTAACACGAAGGTTTTGCAAGGAATATCTTTTTTTCGGTAAGTTAATATCAATAAGTGTTTTTTCATAATATAATGAGTATAAACAGAATTAAACTGTAAATAAAATTCAATTAGCGAATGTTATAATTGTTTGGCCAATGTTTGCTACAACGCACCAATTATTGTATCAAACATCGACTGTTCTTGAACTTGTTCTTGTTTGTAGATTTCCTAGACGATTCGACAATATGTTCGATTCATTTTGACAGATTGGACATAACTGGAAACACGCAAAGGCGTAGATTACTAAAAACAGCAATTCCCAAATTGCAGGTAATTAATTATCATTAAGTATTAAAATACATAGATAACGTTTTGATAAAATAGTAAATTGATAATGACTTTTTTTTAGATTCACGGACCAATAAAAGTGCAAACAGCTAAATCTTCAGAATCGACAAAAGATTTTTCAATTCAGGTAAATTTTGTAAAAATCTATTTAAAAAAACTTATAACTTCGTAAAAACTATTCCTGTAGGTATTTTTATTAAATAGGTATTTTTAAAATGTTTTCAATAAAGTGTGTGTTTCTTTACAGGCCACATCTTCAGCGACTTTAAGTTTTAATGATTCTACGGGAAAACGTGACGTTCCTCGGGCTGATGCAATTGGTTTGAAGTCTCCTGATGCATTATTATCAGATTTAACATCTGTTTGTGACACTCCAAGAAAAGGGTACTTAAAAAAGAAATTGACGACATGTCGCAGAATTATAGATACTAAATCTAAGAAAATACATAACTTACAAAAAGTAAATAAGCGACTAAGAGCAATTGTTCTTTAAAAAACATAATTTACTTGCTTCAAAAGAAAAAAGCCATTGATGATTTAATATTTTTCGATTTGGCAAAAAATTTTGAAGTTGCAGAGTTATTCAATGGAATGTACATTAAAAATAAAAAAAAGCGTACGAGGCCGTTCACAAAATATCCTCCAGGTGCGAGAAAATTTGCTTAGTTCCTATCTACAACTTTTTTTAATTGGTCGAAATATTTGCCACAATACAAAAAAAATATATTATGCAACTCTACGTCTTTCAATACTTACTGTGTTCTCAGCATTGAAATGTAATACCAAGAACTGCATCTTGTTCCACTATAGAATAAGCACGAAATTTTGCACATTATGTTTTTAACCTTATTGCATAGAGTTTGTTTCTTTTTAGAATAAATATTTTTGTACGGATGACTTTTTATTTTCAAGCGACATTTTAAATTTAATGCTTCTAACCTTTCTCCGATGAAAGGACTTAAATAAATATATTTCCCAATGGTTAATCAACGTTATGTTTAAGCATTGAGGTTTATAATGATCTGAAGTTGTTAATAATATTATACTTTTTTCTAAGAAATGTAGATGTTTACCTGTGTGTAAACGTGGCCACATGAGCGACTTATTTTTGTTCCTGATACTGAATCTAGTACTATTATTGATCGAAGAACATAACCCATACTTAGGTTCTGTTTTGTCCATTTACTGCTAATTGTAATACGTTCGGGAAGGTTTTTCAAAAACATAATTAATTTAATTGCCACCTACCTGTAAATGTCTAACAGGATCAGCAACCACTGTATTATTGGTAGCTACCGCAGCAGCCAACAGCGGCAGTGTTGTCGGGAATGGTAGTGGTGATAGTAATTGTTGATGTTGTTTATCTTGACCTAATTCCTGGAGTAGTAAGACTAGTTCCATGCGGACCGACGCCAGACCACCTCCACCCGCGCCGTGTAGGGAGCAATAAGACAGGAGTGTACGCAGTAGGGTCTCGTTTGCTGAACGGAAAAACAGACAACAGGTACTTTTGTACACTGTGTCACATGTACTATTAGAATACATGGACACAGTGTTTAAATATTAATAGTTTGGTCGATATTTGACAATAAAAATAGTTTTTTGCAGTTCTCTAGTTTCTTTTTTTTTTACTTTTTTAATTATCATTGTTTTGCAGACTTAAGTGATTCATTACACCCAATTAATTTATACAAGTCCGCTAGTCCCGTAATTTCTAAAAAATGTATTAAGATCTTCATGAACGTCAAAGGCTCATTAGCCGAATGGGTCGATATAGTAAAAATAAAAATAAATATGCAGAATTCACTTCGATCTCGGTTACAGATAATTTTCGCAAGCAAGTTACCTTTGAGCCAATTCTTTCTGTTCAAGGCTCTCTGCACCTTGGCCTCGAAGTCAGCCTTCTCCCGCACGAGCAGCTGGTGCAGCGTGGGGCGGTCGGGCAACGGCGCCAGGTCGGGCTCGGCGCACAGCAGCGCGCCGCCGCCCGCCGACAGGTACCCGCACAGGCGCCGCAGCGCCTCCACCTCGCGCTCCAGCCAGATGTACAGCTGGTAGCGCAGGTGCCCGCCTGCGACGGTTCGTTACCGATATCGTTCACTTTATTGAAATGCATTTAGAGAATCGCATTCTAAATACAGGTTACTACACATACTATACTGCTAAACGATAATTCGACTATGAGTAAATATGTAACGATTACAACGATCGATCTAGTAAATTTATAAAATACTTCAGAAACATTTCGGATTTAAACGATGAACTTAATTTGATTAATAATAAATGTAATCTTATAAGATTCGTACTTATTAAATGTACCTACCGTCGACTTCGAATCCTGTAGCCAGAGTACTAAGCTCTTCCATTAAAATCTTTAGACATGCCACAAACTTCAATTGCTGAGCCATGATATCTACAGTTGGGGACTCGTCTGCTTCTTTCTCAGGGGCAGCATTAGCTGCGGGCTCTTCTTTTTTGTCCATTTTCATCTCTAAAGGTGGAGTAGATGCTCCAGAACCTTCCGACCTTATAACCAAACCAAATAATTAATGTATAAAATTTATACACACATTAGTCATAGTTTCTTACTAGGGGGTGTTAAATTATTATATATATGGACTTTGGTACAAGTACCTAAAATATGGGACTATGAATTTTTTGTGTATATTTGCTGCATGTTTATAATTAAAAATAATAATCTCACATACAATGTCTGATCCCAAAATAGGCAAGGCCTGTACTGTTGTAACCAAACTGCTGTTAAAATTACTTATTTATTTATTTCTAAATACATTCATATTATAGATAAAGGACACACTAGGATATATATGACGTCACTAAGAATAACTTTCGCTGAACCGATGTTGATTGTATAATCGCTACGAAAACGGCCCGTTTTATGATAAAATGATTTTAAATCGTAAAACATCGTTGTTGAGCCAGCAGGCTCAAGATTCTCGAGAGGCTCAGGATTCATTCAGACGGAGACTGAGTCCAGTGCCTGACACTGGACTCAGTCTTCGTCTGAATGAATCCGTATGAATGTTACGTGTATTTAAATTAGCTTTGATAGTAAGAACTATATACATATAATAAAAAAAGAGACATCTTTCATATGACATAACAAAAGGATCCTGCAAAATAATACGTTCGAGAAATTTAATATGGTATTGATAAAACGCACTCACCCTTTATCATCGTCCCAGCTGAGCACTAGTTCATCAGATTTTGTTGCGTTGACTGGCGCGCCCCAATCCATAGCAGTTGAACCCCAATCCATGTTAGTGACCTCTTCTTTATTTGCTGCACCTGTTTTAAAAAAGGAAGCATTTAAAACTAAATAATGCAAAACATAAATACCATATTGTAAGACCTTCGTTCAAATAACCTTTCATTAAATAGAATTGAAACAAGAATATTTGAGGGCTAATTAATATATTAGTAATGTGTGACTGACATACTAGTAGTATTCATATTTATAACGAACACATACACAAATGATTGTCATTAGCAGCCAAAAAGCAATATGGACTGCTTATAAGAAAGTAGACTAAAGAATATCCGTCAAGTTGGTATTATAGTATATTTACATCGAGTTTTCCTGTCGCTAAGGATACAATAATGCCTAACATTGAACTACAACTAAACTAATGTAGGAAATACAACGAAATTGGATCGTTACATACTTTTGTCAGTAGTGTCAATTCCGAACTGTCCCGTGTGTATAACTGAATCGTCCACAGACGCGGCGGGAGTGGCCTGTTTGGGCCTTTCATCTCGAACTCTCGCCGGCAACTTGGATAGTACTTCCAGAGCGAGCGCTGGACAACCCGCCTTGAAGTGACCGTGAGCAGTTTGGAAGTACAGTCTTCGTTCGAGACGTGTAATTCCTTCTTCAGGCTCTTGTTGCAGAAGGGCTAGAGTTCCACCCTACAAAAAACGATGTATATATTATAAATTATTCCTGTGAATTGTAAAATTAAAATTAATTATGACTTAGCAAACATTCAAACAATAAACACAAAGAACACATGTAGTCAGGAAAACAATTTGTAATTTACACAAATTTTGTGCCTCGTGAGTATTGAAAGGTATTCTAATAGCTGACACACGAACCTGACTGGGCAAGTTGTGTCGTTTGAGCCTGGGGTGCGTTCTGAGATACACGTAAAAGTTGAAGACGCTGGGCATAGGTTCATTATCCCGCGCAGCGTGCAGTCTGCCGGCTGGGTTCAGCAGCGTGTCCAGCGCTTCGCCGTAACGCTTCAACTCCCACAGCGCCATGGAGCGGACAAAGGGGTCTGGATGGGCGCGTTCTAAGTCTATTTCGCCGTCTTCAGTCTCACCGCTGACAAATAGTAATGCAACAAGACATTAAGAAGAACTGTATATTTTAAATTAAAAGCAATATTTACATTACGTATTTTGTATTTAAAAAAAACAATTTAAATTTCTCTTAAAAACGCTGAATAGTGTCATGGCGTCTAAAATGACGTCACAGTCTGCGAAACAAAACTGTTTATATCTGGGTCCAGTGTCAACTGAAACTGTATTAAGGTGAGAAAATATGCTAAAAACGAACAATAAGGAGTAACCTGCTCTGTTGTATGAAAACGTCAACAACAACAATGATGTTTTGTGTGGCGTGACGTAACACTTTCTGATTGGTGTTCACTGTCACGTGACTTAATGCCCATTTTGTTTAAATTTATTATCTAAAAATATTAATAATCTTTAACTTTTATGAGAAATATACTGGTTTTTTCTTATCTATGTCTCTTCATTTATAATTTGAAACTATAAACCAAGCAATTTGTTATTCGTGGGCCCAAGCCTATTTGATGAGAAGTTTTAGTGATGCTCTATTACTCTGCCCTTAGTGTAACACAGTTAATTATATACTAGGTTAATTTCTAGGCCGCTGACTTAGGCGTTAATTCAAGTAGGAGGGGCTTATACATACCCCAATATTTCGTCCATGAGTAATTTTCTCAAGCTCGAAGGTAGAGTACTGTCAGCCTCGTACAGACGCGCGACCACCATGGCTAGTTGCAAATCTCCTAGACGTGTGATTAGCACCTACAAATAATGCACTTCTATGAATTTTGATAGCATTTGCAAACTATGTACTTATTTGACCAAGGTTACGATTAATCTATTTCGTGTGTAAAATGGCTCAGAAAAATTGGGAGTATTAGTAGTAAATCTAGAAAATTCCTCCAATATTAATTATTTTGTTTGAGGGAGTAAATTGTAAAGTATTTGATAAAAGTCAGGTGACTTACTTCTAAAGCGTCTTTAAGTGCTCCTCCAAGTAAAAAGAAGGCAGCCGCGTGTTCGAACCGTTGTCTGCCTAGCAACACAAAAGCGTTCTTCAAAGCCGCTTTACGCCAACGATCTTGAGTGAAGTCGTTCGAGAAGAACTATACAGGTACGATAATAGAATAAGAATTAGAATACAGTATACAAATAAAATTTAGTTTTTTGGTTGTTGTAATCCTAACTTAATACTTTAAATGCAATAATTAAAAGTCGCTATGATAGATATGCTATATAGACGAAATCACCGGTACTAGATAATAAAATTTTAAATGGCAGTGTTACGAGTAATTTGTTACATTTTCATGAATGAAATCCCTTCGATTATTTTAATAATATTCAACCTTCAGATATTGATTATTATTTTAGGGGCTTGTGGCTAAGCGGTGACAAAGTAGGTTAACACATTGCAAAGTTAAGTAATCCTAGCCCGGTCAGTCTATGGATGGGTGACCATTCGTAACTAGCCGTTAAGCCGTCGTTCCCGGTTGCCATACGAACATAAGTGCCAATCGTTACGGGCAGTTGGCGCCCAAAAAGTTCGACAACAGTTTTTCTACAGAACTTCGATATCGCCCAGTACTTGGGTTATGGAGGTCTGATGGCACTTGCTTTTCGCCAAAACCGAAGTTCAGCCGTATCGTAGTAGTTAAAGCCGACCCTAACCTAGTTTGGGAAAAGGGCTCGGAGGAAAAATTATTAAATTTTGCATATATGTACGTACGGGTTCGACAGGAAAAGGACATAGGATATGTCTGCCAAGAAACAGAAAGATAAGCAAACGCTACATGACAGCTTTGCAATTAATGTTATTGAATTAACGGATTTGTCGCTTTCATTTTAACAGACATGTATAGGTGTTTGTTTAACTATATCCGAATTTTAATGTATTAATGTTTAAGTTGTGTAGGACCTTACAACAATGCCATAAAATAGGAACTCTTATTGCCTCTATTAATAAGTTGGTTTAAGACGACAGCTATTAGACTTTACAGGTTCTCTATATTTGATTATTAAAAGTTTCTTATACCGAAGTCATCTTCTCGTCTCTGTTAGACCGGAACAGACCCCACAATAACATCCTCTTCTTCATAGCGAGATAATAGAGTGCCGCATCCATCGGATCTTGTTTCTGCATGTATGACGCGCGAGCAAGTTTCTCCACACAAGTACGTAGTAGCTCGCCTCGGACCCACCAACCGACACCTGGGCCAAACATTTGTATATTTGCTTAGGTAGTGTCAGGTAAAACGTGGCAGATACATTTATATTCCAGGTTAATGGAGTTGCAAAAAAAAAAGAACATCATTTTGTTACTTCTTAACATTAGGATGAGACTGATAAAATACTAATTCATTTTTAGTGTACATTGTCTTAAAAAAGTAAACTTTTCAATTTATATTAACTTACTAATAACAAAATTATATTTATTGAGCAAGCATGTTATTGATTACATATGGTGACTTCTATTACTATTATCTTTGTGCAATTAAATGCTAACATTAAACTACTGCTTTATTTTCTACCACAAAATCATACTGAAAAAAAACATGAAAGTATAAATTTTACCTATTTTACCCTAAGCTTACCAAGTTCTCTCATTGTAGTCCACTTCGGTTGTCCCTTTGTATATCCTGGTACTAATGCCAGTAGCTGTTCGTGCGTTTCGGAATGGAAGGCCCATACTAGATTGCAGGTGCCAACGCCTGTTCGTTGTAAGTTCGCGCGCTGAGCCAAGGGCAGGCAACGAAGAAGGTAACCATAGTGCTTCATGGCAAGTAGAAAACGAAGTCCACAGTCATCTAGTGAATCTGTCAAACAATAAGAATTAATATTGTAATTTTTTTTATGGATAACAATTTTGCGTAAACGCGTTACCAAAAAAAAAGTATCCAATTATTACCTTTGATATTCGAGGAATTTCCTGCTTTACTTAAAATAATAAAGTAAAAGTAATGATAAAAACAGGGTAATCTATTACAAAAAATACAAGTTTTTTGATCTTAAGACTACTGCAGTTATATTATGAGGGCGAGCTTGAAAATACGAGGGGTGATCAATAAGTAATGATAATCGAGTATTTCTAGAACGCACAAAAACCCAAATTTTTTTTTTCTGCTTGCTTATATATCCACTACTTCAGCTTCAAAAAAATGTATAAATAGGACACCATTACCAGGAGATACATTCATTTGAATACGAACTGTCGAAGAGAAAACATCAAAATGGAGAAGAATGAAATAAGAGCTGTCATCAAGTACCTCTGCCTGAAAAAAATGTCTACCAAAGACATACACAGCGACTTAGAGGAAACATTGGGGGAGTCTGCTCCTCCAAATTACACAGTCGCACGCTGGGCAAAGGAATTTAAGCTGGGCAGAACCTCCACTGAAGATGAACATCGCGAGGGACGCCCTTCCACGTCCCTTACTGGAGAAAACGTCAAAAAAGTGGAAGATATCGTGTTGGCCGATCGAAGGGTGACCGTAAGGCATGTAGCTGAGGTCACAGGGATCCTATGGCAGCGTTCAAAAAATCATTGTCAACAAAATGCATATGAAAAAGGTCTCTGCGCGTTGGGTACCGAGAATGTTAACCGACGAGCAAAAAAAGAAACGAGTCAACATTTCGAGGGTGAATCTTCAAAAGTTCCAGGCCGATAAAGAATTTTTTTTGTCGCGTTTTGTGACCATGGACGAGACCTGGATCCACCACTTTGATCCCGAAACCAAACAACAATTAATGACTTGGAAACGAGCTTCCTCACCAACGCCGAAGAAATTCAAAGTGTCAAGTTCAGCGGGAAAGGTTATGGCGTCTGTTTTCTGGGATGCAGAAGGAATTATTATGGTGGAATATTTGGAAAAGGGGGCCACTATAACAGGCTCTTACTACGCAGGCCAAATAAGAAGATTGCGAGAAGCTATTAAGTCAAAAAGACGCGGTAAACTGCGCGCTGGAGTGCTGTTTCACCAAGACAACGCCCCGGCTCACAAAGCCGCAGTTGCGATGGCTGCCATTGAAGAAACGGGGTTCGAACTGCTCGAACACCCTCCCTATTCGCCAGATCTAGCTCCCAGTGACTTCTACCTCTTTCCTCGGCTCAAAGAACACCTCCGGGGCAACAAATTTGAGGACAATAGTGAAGTGATGGCCGCAGTAGAGGCATTTTGGGAGGGTCAAGACAAAGAATTTTTTTTCTAAGGGAATCATGGGCTTAGAAAAAAGATACACTAAATGTATTAACTTGCAAGGAGACTATGTTGAAAAACAAAATACTTTTTTTAATCTAATAGTTCTGTTTCATATTGATTATCATTACTTATTGATCACCCCTCGTATACTATGCATTATGTACTGGTATTTTGGTAGTTTGGCAAATAAATTTAGAATTTAGCAGCGAATTTTGAAATTGCACCATATTACCTGGCAAAACTTCTTGTCCAGTTGCCTGAGCGACATCAATTCTTGCGGTACTAGCCAGCCGTTCGGCAAAATCTGCATCACATGTTGACACTGTGTCGGCTAAAGCCAGAAGGTGCATCTGATCCAATGAACTCAGGCCCGGCAGATGAGTGTGAGTGAGAAGGCGTGACAATATGCTGCCTGTAGAAATATCATAAAGTTTATTTAAAGTTAGTTATTACCAATTGTATGCGATATTGCGGTCGGTATATTTATAGTAATAATAAATATAACAGGATGCTGATAGGGTTGCCGAGACACTGCAGTGCCTCCAGAATGTTTGCTGAGGAGTGTGTCGACGACTTCCCTACCATAATAAGAAAGCGATGTGTTTATTAAGTCGCGCGAGGGGCAGTGCTAACGGCATCCTGGCCGCGTTATCAAACCGGTGGGTGGTTGGAGCTCCACACACTTATAACAACGTAATTAAATTCAATTATGTACCTTACTAATATTAGTTTTTAAGGGAAATATGTATACTAACAACTATGGGCTTGTTCCAATATAAACATATTATTATTATAAATTTATTTTTTTGCTAAGACTGAGTATTTATTTATTTGGCAATTTATTAATGTGATGGGGAACATAATTGTTACACCAGGTTTTAATTACTGATGTGCTGCATCACATCCAATTTATTTAATCTCTCTACAGTACAAACTAAATATACTACTTTGGTTTAAGTAAAATACCTTGTCTAGGTCCAAAATGTGACAAAGCCTGTCTTTCCGGCATTGAGGGTCGTCGGTCAACCATTTCATCATCGCCGAGTAATAAGGCATCTAGATCATCGTCTGTATCCTGTATCGTCCCTTCAAATAGTTCGTTGTAGTCCTGTGGTTAAGATTATACAGGAATAAAAATCAACAAAATGTTACACGTGACAAAATTATGCTAAATTCGACATTTACTGTTATCATTTCTGTAAATAAAATATTTGTACACCGATTCACCGTTTGGGTGAGGGATCGCGTGATAGATGGGAGCAACACATGGGACTGCGACTGGGACTTGATCCAGGAGTAGATCTAGGGAATACTGCTTGCGATGCGTTAGCGAGTCAGCGCTCACCTCCACTGTCTGCTGTGTTACCCCCTCTACGAAACAATATTTGATACCATCCTAACCATGCCGCTATTCGTTCAAGAAAAGACCGTAATGAAGCTCTCGGCTTCAGCTTGGAAGCTTATATATTGATAACCTAAACATAAAATAAATATAGTTCGATGTTAATCGATTTCATTGCCAATTTCTTTAGTATTTATTTGTTTATTTACAAATTTATTATTTAATTAATTAAATTATTATTTTTCTAATATTTAATCATGTAATTGATTTATGTGTGTGTGAATTATTTTGTTTAACAGTTACGTAACTTGTTTTAACAGCTGATAAATTGAGTTTGTAAGACATTGATTGTTTTGATGTTTATAATAAATTACGTATGTGAGGGAATTGAGGTGATCACGTACGTTTACATAAGTATTAAATAATGAAAAGCGAAACTTTAAAAGTATGATAATATTATTACTATTAATGTGGTTTAATTTAAAAAAAAACGCCTATTTAATCATTAGTAAAGTTTTCCTAAAAATTAAAGAGATAAAAATTTGCATGCCAATAAGGTAGGACAAAGAAGGATATATCTTACTACAAAATGTAACCATAGTACACTTTTGATCGGCAAATAAATAATTATTATGGTAAAAAATGGAAATACCTTAGCCTCCTGTATACTGGACGGATTATGTGGAGACTCTTTATCAGCAACTAGCAACGTCCAAAGCGGAAGAGGCGGCACCGAAGTTAGCTCAGCGTAATCAAGTTGTACGTCCTCGGTAATCTGTTTTTGTAAAACACTAGTTGAAGGTAGACTTACAAAAACTAAAATATGAAGGTCCGTATTTCTCTATATAAGTAGTGTTGCTAGACCTTGACTTGAAACGCGTTTGTTAGAATAAAGTTAGAATAAAAATTTGGTATATTATACAGTAAAATTTACACTTGAATAAAGGAAGTGAACAAGTTCATATCTATTACACCTATATCTACAACATGCCCATTAATACAGGCTAATTAGGAGTGCTTTAGTTGCAATAATCTATTATTAATAATACATTTATATGAAGACGTGGTACGAATTTTTTACTAGATTATATGTATTAACTAATTTCGCACATATGTATAAAATTAAAATATTTAAATGTTTTGTATTATATATAAACATATTTAAACCATATACACATATCTATTCCATTTATCTTTCCATGTGTATAAAAAGAAACCATCAACACGACGATGTCTCTTCGACGTACATGTGTGCACGTACACATACGAAGTGAAAAGTATTGTTGAAATCGACTTGAGATTTAATATTACATTCTTCCAATACATAATAGTAATCATATAATACTAATGTATAATATAATAGTAGTAATAGTTACCCTAAATAGTACACAAAAATACTTAGTACATAACAACATACAAGTGTAAAGAATGCGTGTATAAAAGCGACAGTTACCTGTGCGACGCCGTCTAGCGGCGAGGCTGCGCCGGCGGCGAAGGACACGGACAGCGTGCGCGAGCGCGACCAGCCGCGCTGCAACAAACGTGCGACATGCAATAGCGATGCGATTTATTTTAAATCGCAATGTGCCGACTGTATATGAAACTATTTATGTGGTTTTCATGCGTACGGTAGAGTCTCGAAATCACTAATATTCTAGTGTTTCTATTGTAAGATGTGACTAGCAATCAAAACTATAATCACGAGTTAATCACAGAACTATTCTAAACAAATTAATGTAAGATAATATTTTCGAAAGACTTATAAATAATGACGTAAATAAAGTTAAGCTTAGTATCACTCTAAGTCAAACAGCAAAAACCAAAACAAACTTGTATACGCACAAGTTGCGACTAAGTGATCGTTTTCTGAATAATGTCCAATAAATCGAAATGACCTTAAATACAGTAATTCATTAAACTTGGTAAGCACCAGGAGAGAGTATAAATAAACATGTATACATAACACAACACTTACACGAATAAAATTGGTTTCCCACATAAGCTGTAGAAATAATCATGCTATTGTGCACTTTAATTTATTAAACACAAATCACATTTTATTAAGCTCATTCAATGGCTAAAAATAAATCATTCGACTTAAAAATATTAGTCGCGTGTACATGTAGAAGAAGCTCTGATAGATTAGAAATTCATTGCATGATGAGTTCATAACTCATCCGTTCGAATGTATTATTTTAACAGGGTCCTCATTCTGTAACCAGTTAATAGAACGATATTGCGATCGATGTAAGGATTGCGTACGCGACTGATTGTAATGACATTTGCCCTAAAAAAATTGTTTAACATGTATTGAAAAAGATAGAGACAATTTTTTTATAAATACAGCCCGCGTAAGTTAAATAGAGACAAAAATAAGTTACATTACCTGTCTTGATACACTGTCTTCGTCACCTTGCGAACTACGTCCAGTGTATGTGCCACCAATACATCTAAAAATAAGTTAGGAATATTTAGGTATACACTGATAGAGACCAATATAAACTATCTATTTTTCTGTTTAATGCTTTAGGTTTTACAAACAACTCACCTCACTAAATGAGCGAGGATAGCTTTAACCCATCTTATTTTGCCGCTGTTGAGTAGTTCCATTAGCTGTTTCGGATGGTATTGTGGTAGCACCGGGCAAGCCATTTGTGAAGCTTCGAACAAACCGTAGTCGGGCATATAGTCTAATAGAGGCTGGTAAAGGAAAAAAATACAATGTAACAAGCTTCCTGCACTTTTTTAAATATATAGAATATATATTTAGAATGTTTGATAATTTAAATTAAATTCATAGACACATCACCCATCATCTTCACATCAACAGCCTTTAATAGTCCACTGCTGGACATAGACCTCTCCTTAGAAAGGAGGTTTTGGCCTACTATACCACGCTGGCCAGACGGGTTGGTATAGGGTTTGAGTCAAGTTTTCCTTCTTTTGCAGTGCTGGTGTCCTACGTTGTTTTGCGCCCTTAGTCGACTCTTACGACACCCACGGGATGAATTGGGGTAGTGACATTCCGTATTCTTAATCCGTCACTACACGGACAATATATTCTTAGACACTATATATAAATGTTATCATTTCTTCTTCTAGTATTTTCAATGAATTTTAAAAGTATGATCATATTCAGTTATTCAAAATTACCTGCGGTTGATCGGGCTGTGTTTTATTACGTCTTCTTGCATCTCGTTCTAACAGCTGCAAGTTTATAGAGGACACACGCTGTAGGTGCGGCGCCGATATGCGCAGGTCTGAGTCACGGAGTGCCCGAGATTCACTTCCTTCTTCCAATTCCTTGAAACAAGACAAGAAAGATAAATAGGTTTTGGGCTTTTTAAAGTTATTCAAATTATTAAGATTATAATTTAATTTATTTCATATATAAGAAAATTATAACATTTATATATTTGTTTTGTTTGTAAATTACTATATGGTAAAGATTTGATATCAACACTTTCCAATTCCTTTTATCAAGAAGACATGACTACTACCATACTGTCGTAAAATGATTCACTCTTAATTTGTATTTGAAACTTTTATAAAAAAAAGTATTTTAATTGTACTCAAACAAAGCATGTGATATTTATTAACGGAATAAATCAAATTAAAGAAAAAAGTTACAAATAAATGCTCCTGAGACCGTATAAATTAAATAAGTCTTCAATACTTAATATAATACTTATATAAAGACTTATAAAAAGGTATATAATAACCTTTTGTGTGTATACTAAAATATACTTTACACTCTGGCTTTAATCAAGTGAAATTGATATAAAAGATTTAAAATCTTACCGGTACACCCATTTGTCCATACGACTGTTGATTCTCGGGTTTCCATTGCGAGTACACGTGCATTTCTGAGTCCATGCCAACGACGAGAATGCCATCTCGTACCCAAGACATTTGCATTGGCAAGGGCGGCAATCCATCAGCGGTCTTTAACTCTATTCGTCGGAGTTGCATCCATCGGATCTCTTCGACAAACAACGGTGCCGCAAGTGATGAGGCTTTACGTAGGAGTGGGCGATTAGCGCTAATTGATTCCTTCATGGCCTGAAAATCAAATACGAATTAACGGATCTCAAAAAAATACTACCATATATTTAAAATAACCTTTAAGTATAAAATGCCAGTAACCTTTCAGTCATTTAAAACACAGTATTTTTTTAAATATATTTGGCAGTGGGTCCGCGGATTTATTCATACCAAAATAATACAAAAATAACAACAAAATTGTTGATGTTTAGTAAAATTTGTATGCATAAATGTTTAACTGTTATCCGATATTATTACTATATCCTTTACTGCTTTCAAATGAAAATAAGTTACATGAAAATACCTTTAAATTTGCTTGTGCCAAATCACTGGAAACGGGTGTAAACAATAAAACCCTGGAGCCAACCGCTACAGTCAAAATGTGAGAGCCATCTTCTTTCGAAACCCAGTCCAACTGTACTAAGTGTTTCTGTGTAAGAGGACAAGTGTTGCCATTCTCCATGATGCTCTTCCGTAAAGATTGTAGTGTGCTAAATGACGGCACGGCCAATAGACCAGCGGATTTACCCGTGTCGCCTTCTCCGTTGCGTACGCTGCGACTATCGTCTGACGACAATGTTTGTAGAACCTGAATAAAATAAAAGTAATCACGAAATTGCACGTCTTGACTGTTGTCTTTCGGAAAGATTTGTTTTTTTCTTTGTCCACCAGAAAGGGTATTTTCATGTAGGGCCACTTTTTTCCCACCGGTGGGGTGGTATGTTGGATTCGAACCTACCACAAACCGCACGCCGTCTCGGGTACCAGTTGCCATGGACCCAGGTGTACCCTAGACAGGAAATCCCTGGTACATGTAGGACCACCCTGCGGTCGTTTACTAAAATATGTTAATGAGTAAAACACTGAAATAATAGCGGTTAGAGATTAAATACAAAATTTGGTTTGAAGAATCTGAATTCTTGTATTTGCGCTTCGTAAAATACGGACACCATTACGATATCGCGCAACATCCTGAGAAGTGAAAGTTGACCGTATTTTTCAACAATTTGTGGTATACATTGATAATTTCCAGTAAAATTATCTATTTATCTATTGTGTTATTATTCTTAACCAACAATTGTAAAATAATATATATGAAGATATTAAACTTCGAAATATTGATTTGAACCTACGATTTCCGTTTTCGGTACACCGTCCTTTACACTCTTACTGATTGTGCGGTAAAAGTGTATGGACATTTTGTCACTTTTATAAGTTCTGCAATAGATAGGTATATACGAAACTGAGTACCATCAGACAAACCGCCTGCTACAGAGTTTAAAAAATACTTACTTGGTTAATTCTTTGCTTCTTTTGCATAAACGACGTATCGTGAAGGTACGATAAATCGATCTGTGTATCAGTACAGACGCCCACTCTCGGCAGGCTTACATTTCTCAAAGGTATCGTATCTTCTAACAACCATTCTGCACCGCCAGTACTTTCACACTCGTACACACAAACGCATAAATTGACAAATCGTGCATCTGAATTGTTGGTAGTAGCGCCGCCCTTGGGACGGGTAAATGATCGCCCGCACTTGTACGCACAAGCGATACGTCCGGAGTATGCGGCACTTATGTGGAGGGGCTGACCTTAATACCAAAGAAAATGTATGCCTTTAAAGGTTCTACTATTACAAAATATTGAAAACAATTGAAGGACGTTAACACTAATAGAATATGAGTGACAATTCTGTTGTGTATCTATACTAACACCAGTTTTGTACAACCTGACTATACTTGAACTGTAATGAGGTACTCAACAGAAAATGTTTAACGATACAGACAATAAAAAAAACATACAAGCGCAATGTCATTTTGTCCACTTCAAAAATAACTTGCATTCCATAGAATTTTCTATTTATATCTTAGTTTTTTTTTTTTAAATTAACATCTGTTACCTGGAATATCTATTGCCGATTCCTGATCTTTGTTCATCATTTCCCATTCTTTCCAATTATATTCGAAGTCCTCATCTTCTCTTTTAGTCACATGGCATTTCCAAAACCTACCAACCAAGACAACCATTTAAGTTCACTAAAAACCTTTTTATTTTGTCACGATGAAATACTGGTTGTCACTTTGGTATTAGCATACTACCTTAATGTACTATCGGAACAAGCGGTCGCCATTATGTAGGGAGCTAGACAAGCAGGATATATCGAGGCGGAGCTTAAATGTCCAGCCGCAGGCGTAGCGTGAATCACGTCAACTCCATCCGGTAAAGATAGCGGAAATTCGCACACCTATAATAAATTCAATCGGTTTATGTATGTCCGAAATGGTGAACGTTGTTAATTATCAGTATTTCACTATTAATCACTTACCGCAAAAAAAACCGTGAGATGATAAACAACATAACGCCGTTAAAATTTCAGGGATTACATAAAATCTAATCGATTTTCGACTTTTACAGTGAGGTTCTCACTATCTGATAGAGGTACTATACAGAGGCTAATAAGAGTGATCATACAAAGCTATACCTTTTTAGTAGATATAGAGATGTGAGAATCTCTGTGTTGAGGTGGCGTTCGCTCATTGTCCATAGACATCGAGTTGTGGCGCGACTCCCCATCGTCCTCCTGTATCAGCGCGCTATCGGGCACGTACATCATGCTGTTTGTTAGGTCCTCTATCAAAAACCATTAAATTTTTATGTTATAATATTCAAATTCTTTTCAAACTCAAGACTTAAATTCTCGTCATCACCTAAATCTTTATTACTAAAATCATATCAAGGTAACCTGCAGATAATTATCTGCAGATTTTGAGCTCACCATTAGGATCAGCCTGGGAAGAAACTGTCAACCTCCACATATGAACAGTGGAGCCTCCATCAGTTCTTTCAAGCACCACGATATAGAATGGTTCGTTAAATATTGCAGATTTACGCAAATCAACAAAAGCCTCGAGTCCAGCTTCAGTAATAGTGTTAACATCGGATTTTTCACCGCCACAATCCACGTTATCTGTATCTACCGACCTTCGTTCTCCTAATAAAGAGAAAGAATAATGGTTAAACATCTACTGACGGGACAGTGGTAAGTCTTTCCGGCTTAAAAGTTAAGGTGTAGTACATCTTTACAGTCCCAAACTTTAAATGGGTTAGGTAAAGGTTGGGACTTTAAGATGTACTACAGTCGGCTGGAATCAGTTAAGCGTATTTTTAGACATGTATTTAGAATAAATTTACAGTTAGAACAGTGATTCTTTTAAAGTTATAAACTAGGTTATTAGATGTAACAATTGAAATTGTGGTCTGGTCGTTAGAAGAACCAGGATCCTATGCCTTGCGAAGAAATGCAAAAAACAATATAAATATAAATATATGAGCCTAAAAACACAGCAGGAGATTAGATACGCCAATAGTAACGGAACCAAACCTACTAAAGAATATCTTACCAGTTATAAGTTGTTCCTGGAATACGTGCAAGAGTTGCGTGTTATGCCAGTCGTGCGTGGCGTCTGCAATCGCATGCAACTGTATAACGGCGCCAGGCCGAGCCGTGGATTGTTGGGACACTATTTTGATTCGGTCGTGGAGAGGAACGCCGCCACCTTCTTCCAGGGTTGATTCAGATGACATTGACATTGTGTCGTGCTGTGAAAAACGTGTGATATTATCTTATTTATGAATATCGATAATATGTTATAATTCCCACTGTTCACCTGACCAGTAAGAAATCGTACATACATGTATTGGATACAGAGAAGGGCATAGTGAGTGATCCATCTGGTAAAAAGGTACAGGGAAAGTATTTCTTTAACGCCATTTTATTGAAGAAATCTAAACTTGGGATATAAATAAGTTAAGATAGTTTTCAATAAAAACGTTTAATTCTTTTCTCTCTATTTAGGAAAATCTTACAAAGATTACCACATTAGAAAGAATAAGTTTAAGGATATAGTAATGACTTTTTAATAATTTAATGAGGATTACCAGAACATCTTTGTGTCGTCTCTCAGATGTAGCTATTTCGGCCAGCAGTGTACGCGCGTCTATGACAGCTTGGTACACTCTCAGACTTTCACCGTCACTCGCCACAAAGCACGCCGACGGCGAGTTGGATAAATTACCCAGAGTTGTGCTAAAAGCATACAATAAATGATATGAGACAAATAAAAAAAAATGTGTTATTCTAAAACTGTCAAGTTGAACTCCTTATTGTATTAAATTAGTCTGTAAGAGTTGTTGAGAAAAATAATGTATGAGAGAAAAACAAACCGTTGGTAAATAATTCAAGTTTAACTACACACTGTAGGTAACACGTGTTATAGTGCTTCAGTACCTACAGAAAATATAGACATTACAGATAGATAGATACTACCAGTAAACATTACGGCATTTTGAAAAATACCAAACTATATGTAAATAACAACTAAATAACTTAATTAATAAATTTTAATAAACGTTAAGAGGTGTACTATATTGAAATAACGTTGCAGTACTTACCTGGGCAACAAAGTAGGTAGCCAGGCAACGTTGCTAAAGGCAGACAAGTGCGGGGAGTTAACCCTGGCGAGCTCCGAGACGCCACCGGACTTGCCGAGGGGGCCCACGCACTCCACTCTCCACATAATTAATTCAGAGCATAATCCGCCTGCTGCTGCATCATCCTCATACTTATGTAGATCCCGTTCGCTATCTGTACAATACAGTATGTTTGTCTCTGATCACGATCACATTAAATCAAAAGGATTTTAAATATTTGAGCAAGTTGTGTCTATACATGTAAGATGTAGAAAAGTCAATAGGATTGTGTATACTTTAGGTCTACAAACACTATCAGCGATTATATTAAAGTCAAATTTGACAAAAAATTTATTAAACTTTTAGCTTAAATACTATTGCAAGGGTTAACAACATAACTGTAGGTAGGCAGAATAATCTCTTTTTTAAATATAGAAAGTTGATGATTTCTTTAAATATTCATAAATCCATCTGAATTAGCTTTCTTAATATAGTTTTAAGTTATAGTTTTGAATAGAACCAACCGTTCAAATCCTAGTCATTTTTTTAAACAATGTTTCGATTTATTAGACGTACAATATAAGACTCACCAGATATATTATGATGGCTTGTAGTTAGTAAAAGAGGTAATACTGGATGGCATGTGATGTCATTCACTCTAAACCTATGGCCGGACGCTCTCGATGCGTGACCTATAGATAATACCTGAAATAAAGAAATATAATTGGAAAAATCTAAAAGCACCTTTGTCTGTGAAATAGTGCAGTCCGTTTGCAGATAATTATAATCGAGTATATGTAACTTGGCAACGAAATATCGGAAGGTATGTTTTCTTTATATATTATCTTAAAACTTTTACTACACACCTGTGAAAATTTTGATTTGTCATCAAATGTTAGCTGCCAGAGATTGAGCGTGCCATTAGTGTGGTTTGTGACCATGGATATAACAGGAGCGGAGTCCAATACGTCTCCTTCTTGATTCTCTCCTGTATCTTCCGCAGCTACGCTCATTTTTCGCTGCATTTCATTGTTGTTTTCTTCTCGGGGTCCTGGAAAAACAGAAAATTAGGGCAATTAAATGAATATGTTCAACAATGTAATGGTTCACTCACATACAATACCAGTGTATGTTCTATACCTTGTTCCTCCCCATGATCGACTTAAAAATATATTTGCCTATTGGTTGCTAGTTGTTGTTTTGCCTTTCAAAAAGTATCACTGCATAGCATATTTTAAACAAATGTGTGACTGAAGCAACAGGACAGATTATATTATTAGTGGTTATAACTACAGAAAGTGCTTAATGTGTTACCATTTTCTTGTGAATCATTTTGTTCTTCGCCCTGTGGCCACTCTGTTTCTTCTTTCTCTTCCTGCACACTTGCCAATGGCGTCGTCACATGTTCCGTTTGTTCTTGATGACCCACTAGCAATGTAAAGAAATCATTACAAGTTTCTGGTTTCAAAATTCAAGCAACAAATTCTTAATGAAAATATGTGTTTGAAATCGATCATCTGTTATCATTTTAATTATATAAAAAATGACTAATGGGTGAATACTTTAATTTTTTTAGGAATATATGTTTTTTTGAAAAAAACACTAATAACTTTGTTACAATTATAGGTCAGTGTGTAAAACGAGTGAGAAGAAATAAAACTATAATGATTACAAGTAGTGAAGTGGAACATACTAGGCATAACAGGCTTAGTCCTGTGGCGCACATACAAGGGCTGCGCGGCGGCGTGATAGAGCGCGGCGGGCGTGCACATGGTGGTCGCGTCCCCGAGCGGAAACGCCGACGGGATCCGCGCCGAGAACGACACTTGCGCCTGGCGGATCGCGCCCGCTTGCAGCTCGTCCAGCCATTCACAAACCCTGGGGACAAAACAGATATCTCACTGGCGTTGCAGTCAGGCCCGCCGCGTCAATTAAACTGCAACGTCAAAAGTAGAACGTCCATGTTTATTCAAATTTCATTTATTATTTATCTTATTTTCTTACCATATAAGAAAGCTGCCATCAACAGGATGTATAGAGAACAGTAGATCGGGACTCTGGTGCCAGTCTCTCAATAGCGACTCAATCTTTGCATCGAGCGAATCTGGTAAGTGTGTACACGTCACGTCCGTTGCGATGGAATTTATCGATGTTGTGTTTGATAAACTGGGGTGACTATGGTTGCCGCTACCTAAAAAAATATTATGATGAGAAATCAATATTTTAATCTGTATTTATAGGATAGGTACTGGGTACTTTGTTGTTTGATTGAAGTTAAAATAGATTTGAAAAATATATTTTAATTTAATCATAATTTATCTCGTCTTTGTTGTCTTTGTTTCTCGACTGAAACTTACCAAATAAGAACCATAAATCGACAATGAAATGATCGACGGTGGACCACGGGCAGTAACCCGATTTAACTTAATGCTGTCTCAAAATAAAATGGTCATAAAAACATTGAACTTCAATGAAAATGTAATGGTTTTTATACTTATAGGTAGCAAGCAAGCAAACGGAGAATTTGGCAGAAACTATTCTCCCTGGGTAAAAAAATATGAGTGATGCCGTAGAAAGGTTTCAGATCTGCAGAGTTACAGCTATATCATGAGTTCTATTGATAATTTGGTTAGTACACACTAACAGAAAAAAGTGGTGTTATACATAGTTACCTGTTTGTTCATCACTATTGCTGTTATCCTCAGATTGCATTTTAGTCAAATGTTGACTTGGCCGTCTATGTCCTATGTTGCAGCATGAAATAAAAGTAGCAAGAAAAGCTAGTAAGTAAGCAGCACAATGTTACAATTAGCTGTAACACAAATATAGGCTTTAATGGCGTTACAATACTCATTAAATATGTAACATTTGTTTAATGGTCTATATGGTTAGGTATATTGCAGGCTAACTATTGCTTGAAGCATCTTATAGTTATTTTTCGGACAAGGTTTTAGTTCTTATTCACTCATTGGTAAAATAAAATTATTAATTTAATAATCTTAAAGAACATAACTCTCCTGCCCTAAAACGATCAATTACAGCCGCCTTATTGTTTAATGGTATAGGAGGCAAGTCAATATGATGGGTACCCGATGATAAGCGATTACCGCCGCCATAGACAACTGCAACATCAAGAGTTATAAGTTGCCGGTCTTTGAGTTTCCTTGCCTCAATTAGGCGGAAGGTGAAGAGCTTTGGATAGGTCTCTTGTTACCTCACTCAACCGTGAAATGCAACAAAAGAATTGCTTAACACCGAATTATCATATACTGCGTAGTGGTTTAAGCGGTCGCCACGCCGCTTACTACTACGCTGAGTGTTGTGGGTTCGATCCCCACATGGGACGAAAGTTTGTGTGATCCACAAATTGTTCTTCTGAGTCTGGGTGTTCTTTGTGTCTGTTTCATGTATGTTTTGTAAAGTCCTCCGCGACACAGGATATATTCCTAATGCGGGAGTGGTCTTTAGAAATACATGGCCGTGATATCACTCCCACTGGCCCAAATGTACCAAACCATTACTTGCCCACAATTATGTAAGGATTCCAATGATACCCCTTACATACGGACCTGTTTAGGCATTTAGAAGTTATTGAAAACTATAAACACAAAATTGGAAAACAAAATAATTATAAGAAAAATAAGGTTTATTTAACGGAGGATGGAACAGAAAAGTATAAGTGTGGGCTTAAATGTGGTAGTCATTCACTAAAAGTTTCCAGTTCAGCAGATAACTTAAAATAATACAATTATTAAAGGTTGCTATTGGCTTACCAATGAATGAATATAAGACATATAAAAGCTCACTACTTTAGAAGATTAAATATATTGGTAAAAGCAGGTTAGTATATTAAAGCAGTATAGTGAAATATATCATTGACCGTTTATAGTTACAAACATAAATATTATTATTTTAATAATACATGTATTTCTACTTACTTGGTTCATTCTCTCCATCTTGATGTGTGTTGTGATCTGACCCGGAACCACTTTCGTCTGTTTCTTCTTTATCTAATATCTAAACAAGAAAGGACATGTTTCTGTACCATCATCACTTTTGCTTCGTTGCTGGATGTTAGGCCATTATTACTGTTACTTGTATTATTATTATTAGTTTCGGTATCGTAATACTATTACTGTTATATATAAATATGAATGTATTTAAAAAAGGCTTAATATTGAGTTTCTTGCAGAGCCTCTTCTCAAAACATTACGTACGTTTTTAAAACTTTTATTCTGCAAGGTAATTTTTAGAAAATCACCTTGCAGAACTGATTTCATTTCACGTTGCAAGCACTCGCGCTAACATAGTCACTATAATTGCCAATATATGAGGCGTTCGCCGTGTTTACTTATATCCAGTATTGTGTCCAGATGGAGGATCCTAGACTAACAAAGATTTCTACAACAATCAGTATTTTTTAAAATAAAATACGACTTCTATATGTTGTTGGTGTGAAGGTTGGGTGTTGTTTTATTTTATTGCTTAAAATATAGGCAAAGGGACTAACGGGTATTGCATATGTTATTTCGTAATTTAAATGAGTATAGTATTATTCTTACTTGAAATTCTTCTGCTAAGCGTGGAAACAGCTCTGAACACGTATGTCAATCAATCACAAATTAAATACTTTTAATAATAAATGATATTCTTACTTTTTTCGTTAAATCATGCAGTATAGCCTCTGCTTGGCTGGTGAAGTGCATCTCCTTGTTGTGGAGCCAGTGCAGTATAAAGCGACCGCCGCCGGCAAGTGATGGCACCAGAGGAATATCCGTCTCCGCGTTTATCGAAGCTGCTAAGTGGAAGTGAAGACCTGGCGACCAGTCAATTTAATTACTAAACACTGTAGGTACCGTGACATGAGACTTTTTTTTCGCCTAAATACTACATGAGTACAGAGCATGTCCCATATTTTTTTTTAAACAAGTGGTGTTAATGGTTTTGGTTATATATTTATAGGTATGACAAGCCTTACATGTGTTAACCTAGCGTATTCTTAAAGCCCTGAGCGTGTTTTAAAATTTCAAATTTCGTAAGGAATAATCATTCAGTTAGATTACTTTCGTGAGTCGAAAAATGAAACATTAATATGCTTTGATTGCAGAAAAGAGTTTTTTTTAAAAGTTGTTTTACCTCCAGTGTAGGAACTCGCATGATAAGGGTTGTGGAAGTCGTGTGCGCTGTATGTAGACGGCAAAGTTGGGATGGGCGCCCCCGGCTGCTTAGACGACTGAGCCGTTCGCCGTATTTGGAAACATGTTCTGTAACAGTTTAATCATTCTTAAGGTTTCGTATGTCTGAAAGTAAAAATCGGTTGATTTACTTATCGCTGTTGTGTCTGTTTTTCCGCCTGTTACAGTTAATTTGCTTTTATTTAAAAAAAAGAATGGCTCTCAAATACATTTTAATATAGTTATTTAAAAAAATCACTTCCCATTCTTTGTTTCATATATATAGAAGAAAAAATATTAAAAATAGTTCTCATGTATAGATTACATTAAAAGCTACAAGAAATATATGATTGTAAAATATAAATCAAGTAAAAAGTTGATTTAGTAATTCGAATGTATGCTGCCTTATACGACTGCTTTTTGTCTACAATGTTCATGCATCGACGAACGATACCTTAGGCAGTCTTTGTAAATCAACCAATGACTAAGACTATATTCAGATAATATGAGTTGCCACTGGTGTAACGCGCGTTGGAGATTTGTATAGTGTTTTTATTTCAAGCGTTTCTCGTGATTGACTGATCTTGACTTAATAAAAGTTTGCTCTTGTAGATGCACTTTACGACACGCTAACGCCCGTCGTCTGAACATGGCTTTAAGTTTATTTTTCAAGTCGAGAAAAAAAGATTAGGCTGTGAACACTCCTAAAAGAACAACACAATCTTTTGTTTACTGTACCAAATAGTAGCCAATTTAATTACTTTCAGCAACTGAACATGTAAATTTCGTGAATAAATAATGACGTTATTGCATGTGGCCGCACTCAAGCGAAAAATTGTTAAGCCAAAACGTTCTATTACATCATCAGTGAAAGTCATAACTCAAGGTCAAATAATAAAACGGATTTACAGGCCAATTTATCACTGCCCTCTATTGGAAATAAAGAACTGAATCATTTCAGAAGACTAGTGTATTACTACGAGTTGGAAACCACGGTACAACAGGTTTTGCACTGCCAAACTGTAATTCAAAACATTCAATTTGGTGAAAGCCGCTTTTTGAATATTATATATGTATAAGGTGCCGTAAATAGAAGAAACATCTCACTTCATGTGTTTGAGCCGCTGCATGAACCGATGCTTGTGACGGTGCGTGGCTCGCTGGCGGCGCGGCGGCGAGCGCGAATGTGACGTCACGCAGCCGCCGCCCCACTCGTCCTCCGGCAGCAGTGTCTCCGCCCACACGCGGCAGATGTTGTCCACACATGATGTCACCAGCACGTTCCCCACACTGCCCCTGAGGAGGGAGCAATAGACTATAGTTCTGATATTTGATCTAGTTGCTACATTGGTTACATACGGAATAGATGCCTGTTTGAACAACATAAAACGAAATACAAAACCAATCTTTAAATTTTATAGTAAGTATATATAGACAAGTATAGGTCACTCTTCGAAATCACAAAAAAATCTTTAGATGTAATCATTTACTCAATGTATCATTTGCTTTACAGAAGTCAATCTTTATTTATACACAGTGAATGTATTAAAGTTTTTGGTGAAATAATGTGGTGGTCTAACTAGATTGATCAAGGACTTTGAAAAATATTATAATACTTATAAATACAAAACACACGGTAATCAAATATATTGATCTTTGAGATAAGAAAACGTTGTTAACATTTGATTTCAATGAATATATTATTATTATATTCATGACTTACTTCGGCATGTACTTGCTAGTTTTCCGCCATGACAGGTGTGTGACAGCGCGCGGATGAGCCACATAGATGAAAGTGTAGTTCAACTCTTGCGACGAATGCTCATTGTGCGTTTGAACTAAAACTAAAAAATATTCCAATTTCCAATTCCAAATAACCAAAATACTCTAATGTAAGACGAAATAATTAATTGTAAATGTTTTATAGTAACCGCAGAATAAATTCTGTATGTCTGTCTTAATGAAGACATATAGACAGGCAATCAGTAATGTTGATACATTTATAGGGTCCTGAAAACCTAATAGTGTTATCCTATTTACAACTTTGACACATCTGACAGGCTTTGTCAGATCCGATAAAGTCGTGTGCGTTACCCCAGCAAAATAATGTCGAAAATGGTCATTTAAACTTTATAGATAATTAGTTGCTCCCCTTCTGTAATTGTTAAGCACATTTTTAAATTTGTTTCACTTAAACTTTTTTAGTTATTTCAAAAAAACATTTCCTGCTGGAGTAACGTTTGAAACGTTACCGCAGCCAGACATTTTCTTTTTTAATTGTAATATTGAAATAAATTTTAGCTACATAATTAGTTATCTGGACTAGGTAAATGTTACAACTTATTTGGTATTTGTATTTTCTTCGGCTGCGAAATTATTCGAAATCCTGCTGGAGTAACGTTTGTGGGTTTGCTGGATCTCTGAAACGGGTAAGCGGATTGTAACCATCTTTTGTACATAACTTCTTAAGGATTAGTTTTAATTTGTTCGACAATAAAGTAACAAAAATAATGGACCGTTTAAAAATTATTTAGGTAAGTATGAAAACACTTCAATACGTCCTAACACTTTAAATAAGACCTCTAAAGACTTACTTGAAACGTTATTCTATTGCTTGTAACTACCTTCAAATGTATACGAATTTTCGTAAGAATACTGTAAGTGAATAAAAAGTTATGATGAAATGTAGCTCTCCACGTTCACGATCACAATGTGTGCGGCCTTTTTTGGCCACCGATAAACCTGTGTGTATATATATAAACTGAATGTTATGCTAATAATTAGTTGTTTAGTTCAGTTGTCTACCTGTAAAGTTTCAGCGTAGTACATATAATAATTTAGAAGATAATTAAATAAAAGTCATTAGAAGGTGCAAGTCCGTGGTAATCCGACCATGTTTAGGTGGTTACAAAAAAGCGATCACCCAGTACATTGCGCTGTCTTTTAAAATGTTTAGTGTAATACACCTTACGATTTCGGTATAGTTGCGTACAGTGTTAAATACATTCAATATTTATTCATTATTATTACCTATTATTTATTTTGTTTTTTCCCTAATTGATCTTAAGCACTAGTTTCTTTACTTAAAATTTCTTTAGTCTTTTTTACTACCGGAGCTACAATGAACAGAAAATCTGCACTGGTCCGCTAAAATTATAAATATGTAGATACATGTATGAACGATTCACCTGACTGCAATAAATCGAAAATTTAAACCAATAAGAAATCGTTTCATTTCTTTGATTTTTTTTTGTAAAGAAATAACACTAAAGTAATTGTATTTTATTTTGGGGTGTATGGAGCTTAGACTTGAATGCATCAAAATATTTAAAGCAACAAGTCATCTACAATAAGTTAAAATAGACCGAATAGTAGAAGAATACAGTTGTAAATTAGAATGCATCAACATTGCATCGCCCAACAGTCGTATACCTCGTAAGAGTAGGTAATATTGTTCTGTGGTCTATACCGAGAACCGAGAATTATCTATACCTATGTACCTACCGTTAAGCGTTGAGCCCGTGACTGTGGATTTCTGTTAAAAACGAACAGTTGTTGAATGATATTTTGATATAATAACGGTAATTTAATTTATCGAGTGAAAGTGATACATTTTTATAGATAAAATTATTGGTCAGATAATATTTGTCAATCAAGAATCGCTGATAATACATCCTTCGCTAGAACGCGGGAGGGGAGGGGCGAAGGGATACTTCATTGTTTGCAATTTGCATCTAGTGCACTAAACTTGACCCTTAGGCAGATAATATACGTGTTGTAAAGTACGTGTACGCTTCCGCTTTCTATTTTTGTAAATATTTATCGTATTCTTGAGAGTTCTTCAATATGTGTGTACCTAATCACTAATAATAGGCATTAATGCTAATTCGATTCAATTTAAGTAATTGTCAATTCTTGTCTTAGGATATTAATTACTAATGCTAATATTGAAATTTCGTTCAGGGTGAACAAATTAAAAACGATCATAACTTTTAGGTAGGTATATCACTTATTACTAATTTTACATAAATAATTTATTTTATTATAATTTAACTCACCGCGATTTTGTGATCAAATATGTTATTTTCTCCAACATTATTATAGAAATAATGCAATACAGAGTTTGTTCGCGATATGCTAGCCTAAGTCGATTCATCACTTAAAAAAATCCCCATCTATTCACAAAATACCTATTTACAACGCATACGTTACACTCTTCAAAACTTATCATTTCATTTCATTTCATTTCATATTTCTTAAATTACCTATACCTACCCTAAAATTAAACTTCAATTAACAAATACTACGCAGGTACCAATTCTATGAACAACTATAAACAATTCACCTAAACATTACGAGAAAACAAAAGCATTCAAAACAATACCTAATCTCCAGGCTGATTACTAATTATGCAATAAACAATCCTAAATAAAAAATATTTAAAAAACATGTAGTTTTTTGTAACACTTATGTACATATCCGTAGTAAACTTGCAAATAATATCCTACATATTTTAAAAGCCAGCACAATGTATTGGGTGATCGCTTTTTTGTAACCACCTAAACATGGTCGGGTTACCACGGTCTTGCACCTTCTAATGACTTTTATTTAATTATCTTCTAAATTATTATATGTACTACGCTGAAATTTTACAGGTAGACAACTGAACTAAACAACTAATTATTAGCATAACATTCAGTTTATATATATACACACAGGTTTATCGGTGGCCAAAAAAGGCCGCACACATTGTGATCGTGAACGTGGAGAGCTACATTTCATCATAACTTTTTATTCACTTACAGTATTCTTACGAAAATTCGTATACATTTGAAGGTAGTTACAAGCAATAGAATAACGTTTCAAGTAAGTCTTTAGAGGTCTTATTTAAAGTGTTAGGACGTATTGAAGTGTTTTCATACTTACCTAAATAATTTTTAAACGGTCCATTATTTTTGTTACTTTATTGTCGAACAAATTAAAACTAATCCTTAAGAAGTTATGTACAAAAGATGGTTACAATCCGCTTACCCGTTTCAGAGATCCAGCAAACCCACAAACGTTACTCCAGCAGGATTTCGAATAACTTCGCAGCCGAAGAAAATACAAATACCAAATAAGTTGTAACATTTACCTAGTCCAGATAACTAATTATGTAGCTAAAATTTATTTCAATATTACAATTAAAAAAGAAAATGTCTGGCTGCGGTAACGTTTCAAACGTTACCCCAGCAGGAAATGTTTTTTTGAAATAACTAAAAAAGTTTAAGTGAAACAAATTTGAAAATGTGCCTAACAATTACAGAAGGGGAGCAACTAATTATCTATAACGTTTAAATGACCATTTTCGACATTATTTTGCTGGGGTAACGCACACGATAAAGTCCGGGTCCGATATAGTAAAAGTTATTTTCTTTCTGATGATCAGACAGCTCTTTTTTACCTATTTATCTCCTACATGTTACACCTCTTAAAATATAGAAGTTAATTATAGCAAAAAAACTGTTTCTATCCATTTTTAACCAAGTTGACAAACGACTCACGGCTCGCTTATAAAGGTAAGCCCGCGGTCGTTATACCTCAATAAAAAGAAGGGTAGCTGGTGTAAAGCCATGCTTTGGGACATATGGTCTCGCTGGTCGAGGAGAACAGACCGACTAGGCTGGACAACTTCACAGGAAAGCGATGTTAAGTAATTCCGTCGTTGCTTTCCTTTCCACTTCCACCCCCCACCCCCCCTCTGATGCTGGAGGGAAACTCAAAGGGCGGCTACGCACTTATGTCTATTGAGTTGTAGGTGCCCATGGGCGAAGGTACTCACTTATCATCAGATGGCTCATATAACATAATTAGTGTTATCTAATCATGGTTTCATGTAGGGTGGTTTGCCAGACTCTGGGTCAATTCGTGTTCAACAAACAGTAAAAATTGCATATCACATAAATTTGTTATGTTTTGGGTGTGTAAAACAATGACCGATAATATCATCAATCATTTGCCTTTAACTTATCTCTATGTTGACATGCCATAACATACATTTATCACAGATAAACATATAAAAGTAACAAAATCGTATTCGGCTTCACAAAACACCGAAAAAATCACGTTGTAATTGATATTAACATGTACACCACCATTTATTTTCATGTTACTTATAAAAAAATGTAGGGTAATGAAACATTATCACCAGTATATACTTTTGCAGATTAATTTCCCCAAAAAATATTATAATTCGAGTATATAAAGACGGCGAATCATTATAAAATTTATATCAACTGTTTAAAAGCCATCTCTTAATGTGACAGATAAACAATTTACCTTTATTCTGGTACCAGATCTTGACGAGTCTATCGTTGATGCCAGATGTGGCGAACAGAACACCGTCAGGTGAAAACGCCAGGTGATGTGCCGGAGTAGCTGTGTGACACTGCCATACGCATATCCATCCCTAGAATTAATTCGAAATATTTGAAAGAACCATCACAGTAGAGAGAAGGTTATAAAAATAGGTAGGGTTATAAAAATTTCGTTCGATTTTTATACGACTTTACAAATAGGAAGAGGTTCTGAATTCGGTTGTATTTTATATTTCTTAGGTTTGTTATGTTAATACTTCGTTATTTTTTAAACGATTTGGAAATTATTATTTTTTGTTTGGTCTCATTAAAATTTTGAAAAAAAATGCAATGCCTCGGTGTGGAAAATTAAGTAATGAAGGGTACAGCTCATTACAATCATCATGGACGTTGGCACTTAGAAGGCAGTGATAGTTTTTTTTAAAGTCAAGAGATGACGAACCTCGTTTGTTACATAAGTTGAAAAAATCAGCAATCAGCCACAGCGAACAAACGGCTGCGTTGATCAAGTATATCTATACACCTATACAGTTATCAAAATCTATGCTTCATTATACCAGTTCTAGACTAAGTATGATATGGCACTGTTTATTAATATAATTCCTATTAATTATGTATATTATCTTCTTAACTACAATAAGTTATTATACATATATGTAAATTATGATTATTATGCACGATAAATGCTCATTATATTTCTATTACGATTTTTATCTTAGCCTCACCTAGAGGCAGGCTGGGCAATAAGTACAATGTTATAAATTTAATTTTGTTGTTCAATAAATAAACGTTTGTGTAGAAAATCTATCAATCAAATTATGGAATGTAATTAAGAAAAATTTGCAGGATAGCTGAAATACTCTTCATAATCGTCGATCGATAGATATCGTTAGATATAATTCGACCAGAATCTTGATCTCCCAAATGTCATAAAAGGTGTAGAGAATTGTAACAGCTAACAGCTGATTTAGGCCGTTTTCTTCTGTAAAACAGCTATTAGTATTTTAGTTACTTATATAGTAAATAAAGTGATTTAAGATGATTAAAATAAAAAATGTAATATTCAATCGAAATGTTTAATAAATAGACATATGGTAATAGAAATATGGTAAACTAACGTTACGTAAAACTTGTGAAACTCTTAATACTTAATGCATAATAATCACATGTAAGTGATTGATCATTGTGCTATACTAAATATAGTTATAATTATGAAGACTATAATATATAGACAAAACAATGATAAGAGCGGGACGGTGGCAGTGGAATCTATTGTTTGTAGCTAGTTATCTTATCAAAGTATTGCAATCTGTGTATTCAACTCACAGGTTCGTCCTCCTCGGATTGCTTCGGTTTGTCATCCTTGTCGCCGCCGATTTGGAACGTCACACCTGAACTCGCTGAAATAGACAAGCCGGTATTTAAATGATGAAGCTTCTACGAGTAAATTAGAATAGACCCACACTTTCAACAAATGTTTTATTATTTTGTCAGGTTGAAAGAGTAAAAAAAGCAAAAGCTTGATGTAGCTGGAATAATCGTGTTTCTTAACTCCTGTGATGGATTCTTCTAACCAAAAGAAATTGCTTTGCTTGCTTGCTTTGAAAAGAATTAAGAGTAAACATTTCCTGGAACAAATACTACTTGTTTCGGAAGCTTTTAAAACAGAAGAAATGAAATTAAGCAACAAAATTGGAACATAACTGCTACGACACCCGAAAGCGAATCATTATTATCATTTTCTCAAATCATAATTTTTATGACCACTTGCAATTTAGTATTTCTTAGTTAGTATTTCAATTATTTTATATTTAATTATACTTAGCACTACACTTAGGTGTTTTAAATTAGCCTTTATATGTGTAGTGTCCGTGTGGTGACGGATTAAGAATACAGAGTGTCACCACCCCTATTCATCCCGTGGGTGTCGTAAGAGGCGACTAAGCAAGCAAACTAGTACTACATAGTTGGCCAAAACCTCCTTTCTAAGGAGAGGCCTATGTCCAGCAGTGGACTAGTAAAGGCTGTTGATGTGATGTGATATGTGTAGTGTACCAGCTGGCCCAACGTCGTCTGCGAGTCTCAAAAAGCATAAATGTTCCTCGGTTTTGCAACACTTTTTATTGGCGATCCTACAGAACCGTAACCGAAACTAGTTATTAGCATGGATGTTACTTTCCGTGGCTCCAGAACATCCCTGTCATCCAAAAAATTTAATTTAAATAGATATCCACATTAAATTTTAAACTCAAATAATGACAATGTAGAATACAATGAATACAACTAAACGCTAAGTAATGTATACAACTGAAATTGACACAACGATTGGTATAAACGAGAATACATTGCTAACCAATTAAAAGAAAACATATCAAACATACTACTGATATATACTAGAAGTAAATGGTTTTTTTATAACTACAGTCTTAACAAATAAACTATTTATTTCTTCTCACTTTAACAAATGAGGGTATTTGTGCTTACATAAAGTTGGAATACGTTATTTTTACTCGGTGAATATAGACACCGCTCCTCATGTCTTTGTGAATACACTAATCATTGCATAAACATAGCTTTTTAAAGTTGTCTTCTTTCTTAAGTAGTGAAGTTCCAAGTAGATTAAATAGTAACTTACTCTGACTTCACTCCCAGTAAATGTGCAAACCGCACTTCTTGGCTGGTAAGCCCGGAAAAACTAATCATATCACTTTGATGTTAATTGCATATTTGAATGTAATAAAATACCTATTTGCCAAAGTTTACCATTGGAGATTTTCCTGAAACCATTGTTCCTACTTATCTAATATGATTTGGAGATAAGGTTGAATGGACATAATGATAATGCTATTTGAACTGAGCTAGAAACATAATTCATAATGGACACAAACTAAATATGGAAATATCTTACGTTGGCTATCATCTTGATAAAGCGACGCCTGATGCCATAATTGCAATATCTTGCCGCCCGTGAGTAGCCGCGTGCCCTCGAGATTCCATGACAGTGCAGTGATCGGCCCATCCGCCACCAACTTGCCAGTTTGAACCCACCTATATTCTAAACCCTGAACAAGCAACATGCATTGTTAAAGTGGATCATCAATCTCTGTTCAAACAATATTTTATACGATACGAGATTGGCAAATTGCATTATTACAGACAATTGGCGCTTTGCCACTCGTTGAGAGTTCATAGACCTTTTCATGGCTGGTAGGGAAAAAAAAGCTGTTGATATTTGGACATTTTGTGAAAACTGATTTAATGCTACTCACTTTGTACAAAAAAATTTTATCTATTGATATCAATAGCCTAATATTTAAGATGAACTTGTTTTCCTAGATAAACCATATCATGTAATATAATTATATATTTATTTAAAAATAAATGAAGCAAAAACCAGATGACGTAATATTGTAAGCGTCAATATGTTCGACGGCGGACAATGCATCGTCAATCTGAATGGCAATTTAATGAATCTCTTTTATGTTTATAGTGCACGAGACACAGTAAATTTTTATTGTCCAATATAACATTTCTATGAATAATCATCTGGCAAATTGACTTGCGTCCAAACTGCCATTATGCAAAATCTCATAAATAATTGCTCATGTTTAAAGCTACAAGTACAGTACTTTTAATAAAAATAATGCTATTGTGAATTAATATTAACAAGACTGAGATAATTAAAGCATCAATTAAAGTGACACACTCATTGCTAGCAGGGCAACCACAAACAATGATAGCAAACATTTTATCTCAATTCATAGTGTACTGAATAGCCTTGTGCTGTGTGTTATTTTTATATTTATAAGGGCACACGTCAAGTACATAGAGTTAAAACTCAACTATCATAACAAGTATGTTGTCCAAGGGGTTAGTGATCCTGACTGCTAAGTCAGAGGTTGTGGGTTCGATTCCCATACATGAGCGTGATCATTTGTTCAGTCAGGGTGTATTTTATCTATAATATGCATTTAGAAATATATAAGTATGTTTATCAGCAGTCTGGTTACCATAGTACAGGCTCTGCCCAGTTTGCGATCAGACAGCAATGTGTGAGATGTGCGAGATTATTATTATATTTTCTTATGTTTTTTTTTCTAGTAATAGTAATCATGCCCATATTATCATGTATTAGTATACATATAGGATAGAAAATACTTTCACAAAATGTAGCTAATAAATTGGTCCTTTCATGTAAAATTATTATATTTCCTAGGTTTTGTTTTCATGATTCCCAATGACTAATATTGGTTCAAATAAAGTTTTGGCTATACATACAGTTTTAATTAACCAATAAACTGGTAGCACTATTAAAGTTAATTTTTTATCTAAGACTGCCATAGTTTGACCTAAATTTAAGTAGATTGAATGGAAGGTCACTGTGATAAAAATGAAATTAATGCAAAAATACAATTAATGTCATTTATTTATCAATCCTATAATCAATTTTGTAACTAACATTTTCACTGTAAGGCAGACAATCATATTTATTTTTTAATTTATTTAATCTTTATGCACAAATGTGGCAAAGGTAGACTTAATGCCGCAGTTATTTTCTACCAGTCGACCTTAGGGTGATGCATGTAAATACACAGAAATTCAAAATGTATTTTTTTTAAATATAGAATATCATATACCCAGAATACTATAAATTACATTAGAATAGTTTTGAATGATAAATACAAATATAATACAATAATAATTACTTCAAGCCTTTATTTTAAAGACTATTTGGTCTTTAGTATTTACAAATTAAATATTTTTTCTGCATAACAACTGATGCATAAAAATAGAGTGATAGTAAGTTCAGATTGTTTTAAGTGCATTTTTTAGAATGTTCTGAATACTAATACTAAATAGAATATAAAATTTTAAATTCAACTATTCAATCTATATCAATTACAAGTACATAGCTCATTCTCTATTTTTAAATACAAAAAATACTTACATGAGTGGTAGCAGCTGTGTGAATTAATGGTGTTGGTTCAAATATGCACACTTCTGCTCCATAAGATGCAGCTATCTTTCCTGTATCAGTGCTACAGTCCAGTGAACCAATGCGGACATAACTGTGTACCGCTCCAGGAATTATTTGAACTCTTTCAAAGTTGGAGGCTAAGATCACTATGTTACATCCTGCTGCATATGCCTATGGAAGAAATTCATACATATTTTAATAATAAAAGATAGCAAAGTTGTAATATACACAAAGGATTGCAGCAGCAAATTTTCTTAGTCTTTGGACAAAAAACTAAGGTAAAAGTGACCATGAGAAATAAACTGAAATGTTTATGAACTAGACTTAGTAAGTTGTGACATTTTTAACTTTGGAACATAATATATATTGTTTAACGTAAAAAGATTATGAACAATCATATATTGTAAATAAAGTGTATTTATAAAATGAAGTTTATAAATAGTTTGAATTCATTCTATTACATCCATATATTTGTTTGTCAAATTATGATTAGAAGTTATTGGAAATTTATGTTTATCACATCTATAAGGCAAGAAGTTAAGCATAAAAATGTTATAACTAAGATATCAAAGGCGACATCGTTGATATTGTTATTTAAATTTCCATAATGTACTGATGCGAATTAGCATTCAAGGAAACTCTATTCATTTGTAAAGATTTCTGTAACCTATGTTAAATAATGACCTAGAATCCATTGTAAAACAAATGAAACATAATAGTATTTAGTGTAAAAACTAAACGATATGCATATCAAACTGAGCTAAATTAGATTTTCCTGTTAAGACAGTTACTTCTAAATTATCACTGTAGTGTAAAAGATTTCAAAGTCACGAGACCTGGCTGTCAACAATGACGCGATTGGTAATCACAATACTTACTGTAAAAGGTATTCCTTCAACAGAACCAACAGCAAAACATTGATCTCCTGAATTACAGGCACCACTTAATACTTGGTGACAGTTCATAATGAACTAATAAAACAAAAAAATCTTCACTAGATTAATCCCAGATAACCCAAAGTCATTGGTACAGCTTTATTAAAGTAATACATTATTAACAAAAGAAATAAACCTTCTAAACATTTCAAGATCTTATATTTTTTAATAACTATCACGAATATTTCTCTGACACCTCACATCGAACGTGAGAGAATGACGTAGTGAGAGAAAGAGATAAAGTATAGAGTGCGTTCGTAATATGTAAAACTTGATGTCAATCGATAAGACCAACGGAATACGTTGTGAAACAAAAATCATTTTAATCTTAAATATGAAAAACTATGAGAAAAGAGTAACATCTAAACTCACTAATAAATCATGTCAATTAAGAAATGTTTAAATCCAGTATTTTTCATTACATTGGAAGATTAAGAACGTACGAGATGCAGTAATGTTGCCACCTACGTTAAATCTATACGACAAGTGTTATAAACTATTATACAAATAACAAGATTATTTAGAAAGTGAAATAAAAAAGAACTTGATCTTTTACATGAACGATCTTACTAATAAAATCTCTAGAAATTTTGACCAGTGAATTGACAGTTGGACACTTTCAGAATTGACAATTTTGACGGAACATGTATGCCAACGCTCATTAAAATCGTTGAGTTGTTTTTGTGTATTGATTTATAAAAGAATCAAGGACGGATTGTAATACATTCTATTTGAAGGACCTTAATTTGAGCTACTAGTGCTGTGAAGTTTCAACTGTTCACTGGAGAGAAATAGCCTTAGAGGTAAGTAGATAATAATTAAAAAAAATCACTCATTACAATTTATTTTGAATGTATTGGTATACTACAACATAAAAATAAAGTTACCAATTTCCTTAATATACAGATGTCTCTAAAAAGGTTTTTTTTATACTTTTCCCTCATATACCCCTTTGAAATATTAGCTAAACAATAATTTAGAAATGTTTTAAGAGTTATATTCTGTGTAAGTTTTTGTACAACTAAAAAAAATGTGTATTGGTCTTTAGGCATTCCCAAACATACCTGATATCACATGGGCCTGGTTCTCCCAAGAGCAATGCGCCTAAGGCTGGCCTTCGGGGGGGTTTTTAGTTGAATCATCACATACTCCTGGTTCCCATATCCCCAAGGAGCTGGCGATCCAAAGGGATTTTCCATCCCATCAACAAAAAAAAGGCATTCCCAAACAAAAAACACTGTTTATTTATGAAGAGTAGAAAGTTTTTTTAATAAAAAATTAACATTGTATGAGAACTATTATAATAAAATAAATAAGAAACAATACTTTGACATATAAGGACATATTCTGTGCTTTGCAACAAATAAAGGTTTTACACCTACAATTATTATACATTACAATTACCCATATCATTTTTAAATTATCAAAATCAGACAGATTGAAAGAAAACAGCAAAAATTACTTGAAAAATTGTGTTTATCAAATAGGATACATTACCTATTCCATGTATTGTAGTCTCTGCTCCTCCTCTATAAGTAACCATTGTAATGTATCATTACTTAAATGTGAAAGGTGAATGTCAACATTTTGCAACTTGAGGAAATCAAAAATAATGTTTCAGTTTAATAAAGTATTTCTTTGATAAAATTATATCTTATTCATACAGACACACTTATTTAAAAAATCAAATTTCCTTGTTGTAGAAAGAATATCTTTCAAATTATAGATGGAAGATAATTTGTGAAGTATTAAGCAATAATATACACCACACCTATTTACTTTCATCAATAAACAAAATACTTAAAATCAAAGAAATAAATTAAAAACACAATTAAATATATATATTAAATGAAACTTAGTAAAAATATTGTATATTCTTGCTATTATACTTATTTTAATTAGTTCCATGTACTGTAACAGATACAATAATAAAAAGCTGAAAATTTGATAAACAAATATATTTTTTATAACTGGAAATAAGCATATTCTATATTACATATTCATGTGAATGATGTACATAAAATCAATTCTGTGTGATATGATAAACTGGAATCACTATGCTATTTCCTGCCTCGGCATTTAAATCATAAATTAGGTTTTATTTTTGACCAGACACTTGTTCCTAATTGAAGCTAATGAGGGGCTATACAGACATACACATAAAATTTTCCTACGCTCATAAAGATTAGAAGATTTTGAACCTTAAAACTTGTGATTGATGAACATTGTAGATAATTTTTCTTTAACCTCACATCTTCAAGGTGGACTATGTTGGTGATGTCATTTTTAATTTTTCTTCGTCATCTGCCAGGCCTCAAGAGATAAAGGAAGCTTTGCTTCAATTGTTTATGATAACCCACTGTATATAATGTAAAAATATTTTTTGAATGGAATTGTGATATGTTGAATAAAATTAGGGTAATTGTTCGAACTAATACTGGCCGCAACTGCCCGCCATCGCTCCATTTGTCGCCTGCCGTATTTTCGGAGCGATACGATCTTCAACAAAAGAGCGTACTTCTACCTCAAAGGCCGGCAACGCACTTGTGACTATTGAGTTGCATGTGGTCATGGGCAGCGGTAGTCACTTTCCATCAGTTGACCCGTCTGCTTGTTTGCTCCCTATATCGTCACTGAAGTAACTAACTCAAATATTTAACTGTCTTCTGAAGATAAGCACAGACAACAAAATTACTGTGGCTTAAATTCAAAAATCCATGATCAAATATTAATTTTGTGAATTGTTTGCTTGTTGCGAACATAAGGATCTTTTATCATCTTGCCTATAGCGAATATGAAACATGGTACTCGGGATTAGCTGTAAGACCACATTGTATAAGCTAATATTATATTGTGGATGGTCGTCGATTAACCAGCTTGATCATAGCACAAGCGAACTCACTCTTTTGAACGATTACGACAATCACTACACTTAAGGTGAATCATCGATCGAAGCACGTGCACAATGTTGCACTATTTTTCTTAAAGAATAATACATTCATACATACAATTTTAACAACACAATTATAAGGCGTGTATTAAGATAAAAATATTGCCCTTTTTTAAATGCGCCATCTGCTTATGGTTTTTTTTTGTGAAGCTGGTTCCACAGCAACAAAAAACAAGCTTAAGTTACAAAGTTCTTTTTTTGTTATAGGTACCAATATTAGACAGGGTTGAGTTTAGAAATAATAAAGAAGCGTTTATATTTTATTCGACGATTTCTAGTTAGCTAAGTAATCTACTGTGAGTATCTACGATTACTGTAAGCTACACTAATAGATGACCGAATATTGGTCTGTTGAGAAGGTACCTAATATCGGAAATCAATAAATAATTAAAGTCCCGACGTAGCACGTCAACTCGCATTCGTGGTTTAAGTTTGTAAATTAACGAATACTTTCATAGAGTGCACTTAAACCGTCTACGTCGTGGGGGTCCTTCTATTTTAGTAACGACCTCAGTACTTCAGTCTCTTAGACTTAAAAGTTATGTCTCTTCAGATACTAATAAGCTGTTCTGGTAAAAACAAATTGTTTCAATGTCACATATGATGTGATACGATGTTTGTTGGTAATGAGGTCGTAGACCCCGTGATTGTATATATTGAATTTAATGACGAAAGATGGGAGCAATGAACGTAATAAAACGTGCTTAGTTTTTTTATGGACTGTATATAGTTATCATGAAAATTGTTTAACTAATTTGTGGAAGTTCTTGTAACGCCGTTGTTATTTTTCCAAATCAAGAAGAAGCCAAAGTCAAGAAGTATTTATTAATTTCACAGACAGACATTTTGATCTTATTTTCATTGACACTTTGATCTTATTTTAATTACCTCTGTAAAATATTTATTAAAGTAATAGGGATAATTAAAGTTCTCCTAACTTAATGCATCAGGAATAACCAAGTTTACAGGAGTGGTGTCTGGGGACTACATTAGTATGTACACGTACGTACACTCTACGTCTTTACCCCCTCGAAAGAATTATATTGAATTTCCTGTTTATACAAGAATTACTTAGTTAAAATTATTAGCCATTTCAAACAAAAACTATAACGCATAATTTTACCCTGACCTTGTCAATCCTTTAACAAGAAAATAATAATTTTTAAAACATGTTTCCTGTTAAAGATAAAGAAACCAGATAATGTGATAACATACTGATAAGTCAGGTGACTTTATTTTATTGGCTTACATAATTTTTCATCAAACAGCAGCAGTAAGCAACTGGCGGGTACCAATACCAGAGCAAAGCGGTGAAACATGTCTGACCTCGTCTAAAAAAGAAGAAGAGATGACTGTTTGTGAGATAAAGGCACAAGAGTGAACAAGTGAATCAGTTTATTTATTTGGGAAGTATTTACAAGAGATGGAAAGCTTGACAGAAATGGAGAACAGAGTACAAAAGGGAAAATCAGTAAACGGTGCCCTGCATTCCCTCGTAAAAAGTCAGAACGTGTTATTATACGCATTAGCACGCTCATTAGGTAATGGTAGCGTCAACTCTGATGAATGGCAGCAGAAACATGACATAATAATTAATACTGTGAAGAAGTATGCCTACTAGATCGGCAGTGTACTGCAGAAGGGGGGGCCCCATTAAAAGCACCCATAACCAGCGAGCGTACCTATGAAAGGTTTGATGACTGTATGTCAGGATTGTGGTAAATCCCCTATCCCTATCTGCCTACCCGTATCATGCATACATACGGGTATATTATGTATATACATACACGCCTCAACTTCGTCCGCGGAGTACTGAGATAAAAATAAATTATTACAATTAAAAGTAGATAACTAATTTATATAATATGCATATATTTGACGTTGATATAAACTCATTTATGTATTTTATGAATATTGTATATCCCATTTTGGTACCCACCTCGAACTAAAGGTATAAATTTTATATCATGTTAGTAACCATATTTTAATGTAGAGTAAACCTAAAACAATTCTGTTCTAGCAAGGAACAAGTATTTCCCTAATTAAAATTACATAATTTTTTTAAACTTGAATTTGTGAA